ATTGCAACATAACTTTGTAGCTTATTATTTTTTATTGCTGCTAATAAGCTTGACTTGCCAGTTAATGGCGCATTTCCGTTTCCGCTCACCGTTCAGCCACACACACAAGCAAAAACCTGTCGTAAAGTTTATAATGAAAATATTTGCGGCTTAGCCACGACCAAAGAAGAAACGGCAAATGGCAAATGGCAACTTGTTGTTCAAACTCTCACAAAACTGTCAGCACCAAAAACCCTTGGCACACACACACTAATGCACTAATGTACACTCAGACAGCACACACAACTCACGGGCTTAAAAACTTTCGGTTTTTTGTCTTTCCATTCTTGAGCTTATTAAAGTGAAATTTTTAGACACTTTTCATTTATTTTATTTGCCCATATTTCCTTATTGAAACTTTTTACTGGACAATGGTTTTCCTTCCTCCCTTCCGTCCCCGCCTTAGCAGGCTTATCCAAACAAAATGGCCTCATTTGCTTAGACTGAAAAGGACATGGAGACAAGTCAACCATTGTATTGTTGCTTCAGTCCCTGCTCATTGCAGGCGAGCAAGCCTGTTATTGTTGTGGGTGGAAATGTATTTTGTAGCTCATTTGTGTGTTTCGCCGGAAGTCGTAACTGTGCAGAGGATACGTTGAGTGCTCCGATTTCACACCAGAATAGCCCGGCTCACAACATTTGTGCCGGACATTCACGGGCAAGGTGCAGACATTACATTCGAGTTTAGATTTTTAATGTTTCTGCTTTTAGGACAATTGCTTGTGAGAGTGGCTACTAAATTGGCCGCCATTTACTATGAGACCAGCTTAACCCAAAAACTGGACAGAATTGGGTTAAACTTTTATAGGTGTAAACTTAATGATCGGTAAAAATACATATATGTACGAAATATAAGATTTTAGATATACATACATAAATACCAATAGTATCCGAGTTTTTAGCGATACCGTGAGGCCACCTGTAATGCTTTCTAACGAATAAATTGTTTTGGGTTTATTAATTATTATTACCTGTCTAATATCCTCCGACAAGTCGGATCCTTATTCCATAAGTGTTTTTCATTGTTTTCTTGATAATCTGTTGAAATAGCAAACCATCTTCGATTTGTTTGTATTCTTATACTATATGTCTTCTATATTGTAGTTCTTAACTTTATTTTCACACACCAGAGTTTGTAAACTCTTATTGTTCAAAAAACGCCGACCAGAAGTAGAGATCGCAGATCTCCGATATTATCCTATCGATCGCCCTAGCTTATTATCGATATATGTGTCTACTTATTTGTAATTGATTGTTTACACTAATGCTAAATTTCATGTTACAATGTGGTGTTCCCACAAAACTAACTTAAGAAGTCAAGTAAAGTTTCCATACGAGTCGCTGAAATGTGAAAAATATTTGATATATAATATTTCAAGTAGTTATTTTACACGATATGTGTTGTGTTGCCCAGAATACCACGTTGCATCCCTAAAATATTTCCCTCGCAACATGCTTTTTTGGGGCCACAAAAAAAGCCAATTTATTTTATATATTCGATAAAGATCAATTTTTATACGTCAATAAAGAAAATATTGATTTTTACCCGCACTTGTCGAGCATTGGAACAACTTTTCACACAATTGAAAAATGTCAGACGAAATGACAGAAACTTTTGTTACCTTATTATTATTTTTGTTTCGTTCATTTTTATTTTTGAATATTTTTACACGTTACGAGTGTAATAAACATCAATATGGTGGGAAAGGCAGACATAAGGCATCTGGTTCGCTCCCGTCAATAAAGAACGAAAAGGGCGACAAACAAACAGAAGGCCGAGCTGACAAAAGTTTGCGCAAAAATCATAAAGTGCAGGGAAAAGTTTCTGGCCAAAAGCGAGCAACTCTCGTAAAGTCGTAAACCAGAAAACCGAAGAGGCACACCCAGGGGCAGGGATCAGGGGTCAGGGGGATGCCCAAGAAATCGACTAACATCAATTCGAAAATGGCGTAAAAGTAGCAGCGATTTGTTTGCATGCTGTAGCCCTGCTATTGTGGTTATCAAGCATCCTCGGTGGTGCATTTTGCCAGTTTTTCCCACTTTGCATTTTATCTCTATTTGCATTGCGGCTAACCAGTGACAAGCATTCTTGTGGCCGGACATGTCGAGTGGTTTTTGTTTTGAAGAAAACTTTCTTTTTCTGTTCGGGATAGTCGTCCAGCCTTTGGAGCTCTGCCAGCGCAGTGCAAGTGTCAAAGATTCTTCGGGCTGTTCCAACTCTCCAACTCCCAACCGGCGAAATGTTTGTTATAAATTAAAGCTGCTGCGGTCGTGTCTGCTGGGGACATGAACTTTTATCAGAGAGACTCATAACTTGTGATACATATTCGTTTAGGGCTTTGTTTTCGCTTAGAAAACGGGCTTTCTTTTCAATTGCGGATTTTCATGAATTGTTATCGCTTTAAATTGGGTTTTAATTGGTCGGCTGGGGCAGTGCAATTGTTGTTGTGTAATTATTTGGGACTATTAAGTGAAAGATTAATGAGCCTGGGGTTTTTGCGGTGGCATAATATTGTTGTTGGCTATTATTTATGGCTTATTTACGTAATAATTACATAACTATAGGGCACGCGGCTTTAATTGCTCGTTTCCAAACTAAAGTTCACATTTAACTGCATTGTAACGCCTGGTCAACGGGCACAACTTAATATTCAGTGGACAATAAATTATCAGGAGTCAAAGCATAAACACAGATGGCAAAGTTTGGGAAACTTTAAGAATGTCACAGGACACGGTCCAGGGTGTTGTCCCGGTGATAGAACGCACAGGCAATAACCATTTATATGGCCGAGGGTGACACTTCAGCATGGCCCTGGGACACGTTCCGGAAGTTGGACTGGGCCCCACGGTGGCGCTGTATCATTCAAAAAGGTGCTACAACCTTGGTGCGGACAGGAGAGCATTTAGAAATTAATGATAATTGACACAATAAGCGACAAGTTGAGCCCGAGCAAGGCAGAGAATTCAAGGGAAGGACACTTTTTCCTGGACTCTCTCCGAGGCCAGTGGGATAATAGTCAATGGCATTGGAAGCCAATAAATAAAAGCCAATGAAAACAAACAGCGTGCAACGAGGCAAAACGTGCAGACAGCTGGCCTTACATACGCAAACATAGTACACTGAGGATACAATAAATTATTAGATTAAAAAAAGTATGTTTTTATTACAAAAATGTATAAATTATACATGAGTACTTGGGTTTAAATATATGAATAAGATAGATACCTTATATATTTATAATATTGCATAAAAAAAGCTAAGATTAAAAATATATCTATTTAAAAAGTATATTTTAAGACCCAACGTTACATTTTGAAGGCACTGCTGCGTGGTTTACATACTGTGCATACTGTGATTGTGATGTTTAGTTAATTTCTTTATTCCGCAAACATTTCATTCTTAAAAACTAAAACGGGATAATCTTGAAAGATCGAAATCAAAAATCGCTTTCGACTATCGAAGGAGTCAAACGCATTTAACGCCTAATTACGCTGAGGCCTAAGGGCAATCGTGTGAGCAACCGCCAGCACACAAATTTCTACTTCCTAATTAGGCGGAAAAATTAACCGCCCGCACCATTACAACGAAGAGCAAGCAGAACCTTTCCGGATTTTTGCGCGCTCTGGCAATCAAAGTCACTGACAGAAACTATAAAATTTCAGTGCTCACGTATGCCTCTCACTTTCGCATTTATGGAAATAATTAAAACTGATTTGACGCCTGTTTTATTGAAAGTCTTCGCCGGCATTCCATCCCTCTCAATTAAGTTCCTTTCATCATGCACGACTTTGTCATTCAATTAACCATTGCACTGCCAATAAGTGAGTCTCACATAAAATGTGAGAAATGCGAACGTGACTTACTTAATGCGCGTTTAGGTTTGGTTTAGTGAAGTGAATGCAAAGTGTGTAAGAAGGATTTAAGAATATTAGAAACCTCTAAAAATTGTAGTCACTTGACAATACAGTATAAGGAATTATGAGAACAAATTTGGTGTAATCAATGTCTTGTTAGCTGAAAACTTTAGCATTTGGAAAAGCCATAATTTCAAGATACATCTGTTTTTAATATACAATAGAAATAAAATAGACTACTTTTTTTGATAGGTTTGTATTCTTATAGTTTTTGAAATAACTACTTAAACAAATTACCTATACAATTACGAACATAGAGAATAATTATATCTAGCTGGATTGGTGCATTTAAAGGTTTTTAAAATCCTTGTAGTTTTTTAAGCTCTTTATTTTTATGTATAATCTTTTTTATTCGATGATATATGACATTAAATATATGGTTTAATTTGTCCCGATATTGAAAACGTTTTTCGAATTTTTTGTTGCCATGCTCTTGCTCCTTGGTACAGGCTTTCCAAAAGCCCCATAGCCAACACTCATTCCTGGCCAACAAGCCCTTCGGCATTGCAGCTACTACTGGCGATTTGTGGCCCGGATCATGGAAGCTTCAACTTTTCGGCTCGGCCGGGCAGCTGCTTTGTTTTTAAAAGCTTAGCTCTCATGCCCATATTTTGCATGCCCATATCTCTGCGGAAAGGGGAGAGCAGGCTGGAATTTGTGGCTTAGCTTCGATTCGTTACAATTGGCCAATATTTTGGCTTTGTGCTGGAACAATGCGGCATAGAAGTTTGGCTGAAGATTTTTGAATTTAGCGTGCCAAAGTCAAACGAATTCCCCCATGGAGATGATGCTAGCTGCTGTTAGCCCTATCCTTCGCCTCTCTTCCTCCACTCTTTCCGTCATTCCCCATTTCCTTTGCGCCTGTGTGTGTTGGTGCGCACGAAACCGGAAATGAAAGTTCTGGCAATTGAATTATGGATATGAAATTGCGCTTGACTCTCGCCGTTCTTGTTCGACAGAGACGCTAGTTTTAGTCGCTCGCCCACCTTTGGATTGTTTTGTCCCTTGGTTTGTTTTGCACTTATTTGGCCTTGTAGGCTGTGACAGAGTTGGCATATTCAAACTTAAATTTTAAGCCCATCAAAAAACCACTTTTTTTCGGATTCTCATAAATTTAGCATAACATTTCGAGTGGCCGCTGGCCATGAGAATATCATCGGTACGTCTACCAAGCGCGAGTGGTAGAAGTTCGTTCGCATTTTCTATGCTAGGAGTCAAAAGACGCTCGGGAGTGCTCAGTTTCGGACACAGCAAGATCCAGGTGAGTTGTGTTCAATAATCAATAACTTTGGCCAGACGATTCAAGGGCACTTTTAAATCTTGGGAGAATGGAATAATTTATAATTATAAATAAGCTGAGCTCTAATAGTAACTGAAAAGGAATCGTATTTCGCATACAGAACAAAAATATAGCACGCCCTTTCTTTTTGCAGTTCTGTTCATATTGCTAGCCTATGTAGGAACTTTTGCATAAGCCACGCTTAATGTAGTAGTTTCTGATTATTCCATTCCGGAGTAAGCAGAGAAGAACCACGACATAATATCTACGAAAAAAGGTAATGAAATAGAACCATTTGGCCAATAAATAAATAAACTAAAGTCGTGATGGGAGCCGTCATATTTTGACTTGCCAACATTCTTGATAGAATACAACGTTCAAAGACTAACCGGTTTTCACATCTTCAAGAAGCAGAAGTATGAGAAGTAGTGCACGTTCAGCTCGTTCACAATCGGTTAAGTAATTACAATGACAGTAGTCGGTTCCAATGAAAGGATCAACTTAAAGGAGAGCTAAATATAAAGCATTTATAGATTCTAGGAGTATCAAAACTTTTATTATAGAAATCCCACGGCAACAAAAACATACAAGTTTGCCAAATTTTATTTTGTTAAATAGTTACATTAAAAAGTATTCCAATTGATCTAAAGCAGATATCAAAATATTTGAATGGAATGTAGCGCAAACTTAATTTTGTATTATTTTGATGGTCGATTCTATTAAGGGTCCATTCTGGTTAGTTAGACCAAAAAATAGGCAATTTTCAGGAATTGTTTGTGGACAAAGGAAAACACATAGAAAGTTCAAACTTGTCACATATATTTATCATAGTTTAGAGATGGTTTAGCAAAAAGTTAAACATTTTTAGAGCATGTCCTGAAGCAGGACACATGCCCAAAAAAAGGAATAACGGCTAGATTTTGACTTGCATTGTCGCTCTCTTTTTGTCTATAGTTTATACTTAGACATCCTCTTATACTAAATTTAAATTAAGCCACAGATTTCTGAAAAGGTGGCAGCTCTGTTAAATGGCGCCATCTAGGGGTTTTCTACATTTTACATTTAAAACATTTTTGGTATTTTTTATAAAATCAAATAACTGAATTTCTAAATACATATAGCGGCGGATACAGGCCGTATTACAGGTTGTATTCTTTCGATAATCCTTAAGTGTTTTAAAACGTTGCTCTGTACGAGCTCTGTGGCCAAGCTGACTTGTATGGAACAACTGACTACAGTCCAGTTCCAGTTTTCAGTCATTCACTAGTATAGAAACTTATTCTAGGTATTTCCTTGACTGAATTACTGAAAATATTGCCAATATTTTCAGCCGAAACGACCCAAAAAAGTCATCCGCTTAATTTGCCACCATATTCCAGTCGCAAGACATTGATATACATACCTTTAGTTTTATCCTGCATAATCTTAAATTATTTTAAACTATGGAATGGACCTTTCATTTAGCATTGATATTTCTCTCTCTTAAACCACACTGGCTTCTCAGTCATTCAGTTGATATTTTCAGCGACCTCAGAGGTACTAAATGACTGAAAATATCGTAAAATCGGTATGTATGAGAACAACTGTTTTTAGTGGCCGTTATTTTCAGTAATTCAGTCGTCAAGGGAATTCCCTGATTATTAATAAACTGCTAAACAAAAAATGTTGGAGCCCCTTCTGTACCAATGCAAAAAAATCTGTACGTAATTTAAAAAATTATATTTAACATTCTTACCCAAAAACTTAAATTATCTCCCTTTGAACACGCGCAATGTGCTGCCGCACTAAAGCTGGCGGCTACAAAACTGCACCCGCCGTTTTCGAAATATATTTAATCGCTGTCGCCGGAGGAAATCTCCTGAGCCGGCTCCTCCTCATGGTTTTTGCTTCCTTCTTCTTCCGCCTCGCTATCAGAGTTCTCCATGGGATTGGTCTTCAGGCGAGCTATTAGCTCTTTGGCGGGATTAAAAATACCATTTGTCTGCTGCGAGCAGATGATGCAGCGCTGCGACTTTTTATACTGGGCCAGGGCGCACTTTTCACAGAAATAATGCTTGCATCTGTGAACAAAAGGGGATATTTTGTAAAAGTATTCCTAAAATATTGATGCCCAATTCTAAATTATTGTGTTCACTCACTTGGTCACCACGGGATTGACGAAGCTCTGCCGACAGATGTGGCATTTAAAGGGCAGAGATTCCTCGTCAGAGTGGATCTCATATTTGCCATCGTCGCCATCAGAGTCGGCATCACCCCGCCGCTCATTCTCATGATCCATCTCGAGCTGCCAGCCAGCTTTGTAATCGCTGCGATCGTGCAGGAACTTGCAGCTGTCGCCGAAGCCACAGTAGCCCGTTTCCTTGTAGTCCTTGCAGATATCCGGCTGATAATCCCACCTCACGGTGGCCCGCAGGTGAGCTGGAGCCCTAATCGGGCCGCTTCGCACCATGCCGGAACTGGCATTTCCCGCCGCCGTGTCCTGCTTCTTGTAGTACTGCGCGTAGTTGTTGATTCCGCGGTAAATCTTGTCGTCCGCCTTACCCTCCAGATCCTCGTTGATTTTCAAGGCGCGCGCATGGATGGCCTGGGCGTCGCGATCCAGTTCTGTGTCCATTTCGTTGATGGACGTGGCGCCCTGATCCTGCGGGCCACTGGGCAAGGCCTCGCGCTTCGACTTGTAAGCCACTCCGAGTTTGTCGTCCTCGGCGGCAGATGACGACGAGTCTCCGTCGGGTGCTCCCGCCAGACGCTTCGCTTTGTTCAATGTCTTGGTGCTCTGGAAGTTGGGATTGGTCCGTTTTCTTCGGTTCTCCGCCCGTGCCATTGCGGTCGACTTGCCTTGGGCCTCCTCATCACTGCTCTTTGCTGCAAATGTCTGGGATTTAGTTTCTTTATTTTTTGGCGGTAGATTGCCATGCTCACCCGAGTCGTTACTGCTGCTACTTTCCTTTTTGCGGCGCATGGCGGCACCTTTGTTGATGTTTCGCTTCTTGAAGCCGAAAGCCGACGTGCTGGCCGCTTCTTCCGACATGGTGCGGCTTTTGAAAATCGCTATTTGTTGTTATTTTTCCTTGAAAACATAAACGTTCCGCAATTTAGCAAGTATTTTGGCAGTGCTTCTTCTTCGTCGACCACTCCGATAACGATAATTAATACCGCGTCGGCAGCAGAAACGTACTATTTAATACTTTTCAAATTTCAAAATATACCATTTGCAAATTAATTTTTTAAGTTTTTTTTTTGTTTCTATTAATTGTATTGTAAATAAAAATATAAGTATGAAGCGTTAAATTAATGCATTTTTTAAATTTTAATTTAGTTTATTTCAACTATATTTAAATACCAAATTATTTCAGATAGCTTTTGATAGTTTGGTATTTTTCTTTGGCGCTCTACTTCTGGTCACACTATTGATTATCGCTTATTTTTGGAACCACACGTAGTTTTTATATATTTTTTTGGCACGATAAAATTATTTGACGAATTCCGTTTTCACAGGAAAACATGACGCTTGAACTGGTTTCCACTGCCAAGAGCTTCGAGGGAGAGCAGCGCGTGTATCGCCACCGTTCCAGCACCTTGGACTGCGAAATGACCTTTGGCGTCTTCCTGCCGCCGGCAGCTCTCGAGGAGAAGAGTCCGTGCCCGGTGCTATTCTTCCTCAGCGGCTTGACCTGCAGCCACGAAAACTTCATCCAGAAGAGCGGCTTCCAGCAGCACGCCGCACGGCACAACCTGATCGTCGTGAATCCAGACACCTCGCCGCGCGGCGTGGACATAGCTGGCCAGGATGATAGCTACGATTTTGGCAGCGGAGCGGGATTCTATGTGGATGCCAAGCAGGAGCCGTGGTCCAAGCACTACAAGATGTACAGCTATGTCACCCAGGAGCTGGTAGATGTGGTGAACGCCAATTTCCCCGTGGTACCAGGACGTCGAGGTATCTTTGGGCACAGCATGGGCGGCCATGGCGCGTTGATTTGTGCCTTGAAGAACCCCGGCTTGTACCAATCAGTGTCGGCGTTTGCCCCAATCGCCAATCCCACTGAATGCCCGTGGGGACAGAAGGCATTCGCCGGCTACATTGGATCGAATCCCGATGACTGGGCCCAGTGGGACGCCACTCTACTGGTGTCGCACTACGAGAGCACGCCGCAGGAGCTCTTCATCGACCAGGGTGCGTCGGACAACTTCCTTCAGGCGAAGCAACTACTGCCGGAGAATCTCCTGACCGCCGCCGACGGAAACGAACACATCCAGACCATCTACAAGCAGCGCGCGGGCTATGACCACAGCTACTTCTTCATCGCCACCTTCATTGCCGAGCACATCTCCTACCACGCCAAACTGCTGACCGCCACATGAGTCCGTTAGGAGATTTGTGCCTCTGTTGCTTGTAATTTTGAATCGCTTTGTACTTTTGCTAAGCCCCCAAATTCGGAAATAAATCAAAAGTACAGTACGGTACAGTGTCAATCGCCGCATAGTTTGTCGAAATCGAGGGAAATGTATATTGCACACATGGATCAATATTTCAAAAATTCATTCATCAATTGTATCATATTCGAGACTCCCAATACCAAATCGCAAGCCAATGTAAATTTTCTCGCAAAATGTAAAGTAAAATATGTTTTTAAAACGAAACATTCTTGTAATTATCTCATTATCGGGCTACATATGTAAATACTTCCCTGTTAGATGGTTCCTGCTAAGGTAAGGGGGTTAAGGTCAATTCGGTGCAAAAAGGCCAACTTTTCTAAAAAACGGCGAAAGTTAGCTTAATGCATTAAATACCATATTAAAACACAACATTTAAACAATTTTTCTTTAATTTTTTGTTTTATAAATATTTACAGGTCTTCCAGTAATAGGAAATCTCCGGAGTCCCCTATAAATAAAAGCTGGTTTTCGGTGTTTATCCTAACTGTCCACAGAATCATCCGATATCAAAAACTATAATGCATTAATTAAAGGATAAGTGTCCCGAGGTACTCTCGTGGCGTTTTTATTAAAAATTTTTTATTTCCGGTTTTTTATCAAATTTACTAGTCAAAACTAAGATTTTTGACTAAAAAATGTTACATAAAAAGTATAATAACATATAAAATTAAAAAAGGTCTACGTGAATACCTCTGGAATTATTTAAAGAAGTTCAAAATTTCAAACCGATTGGTCCAGTAGATTTTAGTTGTCGATTTTCCGATTTTCAAAATGTCATTTTAGAGGGGAGCGCTTGAAACTTTACGATACTCTTACATCATCAAACGACCTCTGTTCCACTCTGCATATCTTCCTCAATTTTGCTATGATCGATGTAAAGCTTGGACACAATATTCTTTAGGTATAGTACTGTTATTCAATACCGTAGCATACTATTCGCACAGCACTGTGTCCTTCGAGCGTAATGAGTTTTCGGGGTAAAAGCTCTTATCGTAGTAAAAGCTCTCCGGCTACTGGTCCACGGCATGCTGGGAACTTTCCGCAACCTCGCCGACTGTCCTGGCATCCTGCGCTCGGTTCATTCATCAGTAGAACAAACGCCGTCAGATGGGACAGATGTGTTAGAGGCACAAAGGGAACCCAACGGTGGCGACATCCTCGAAACGTTTGGCGCCATATTTTCTGGGACCAATCGGAGCCGTTCACTCCGTATTTACGTGACTGTGCGTGTGTGCGTGAGCGATTTAGTCCTGTTTGTTTGTGTAATTTCGCGCGCTTTTGTGTCGCCCTCCATCCGGAGTCCGGACATCTCAGCCCAACGGGTCGGAAAACCGGGCTCAACAAAAAGGATTTGAAAGGCGTGAGATTTGCGGCCAACTGCTGGACGGCTGCCAGTGGATTGAAATCTTAATTAACCATTTAATGGCAGTTGGCAGACAACAAAGGCCTATGGTAAGCGGTCGGCCATATGGCCAGTATAAATCAATTAAAGAGCTCCTCCGGATCTCTTAGCTGAATGTCAGCCATCCTCCAGGTGAGGTGTCGGGACTTATTTTCCTTATTTTATGAGCAGCGGGACGGGATGTTTTATGGGCGCCGTTTTACTGCATGCTGGCATTTTACACTTCCATCAGCACTCCATTTTTCACAGTTCAGAGTCAAGTTCACGCTCCGTATCGCCTCACATTCCAATCACCATCCATCAACTTGGCCGATACGGGACCCGGACTTTAAAGTTTAAACCCATTCAAAGTATTTAAGCCTTGTTTTCACAGGCCATCATTTGCATATTATGATTTAGCTATTGAATTTTACGGTTTTATTGTGAAATGGGACTTTGGAAAGTGCTTTGGGTGTCTTCTTGGAATTGTTATTCTCCTCATTATAAATGGTCTTTTATTACTCTTTCAAAAATTCCTCATTCTTAGGTCGGTATTTTTTGTGAAAGAAAAACTTTCTGCTTCTGTTTGGTTTCTCATTACCGAAGCTTCATTTAAATTTATGAAAATTATGATAGAGGGGGGAAAAAAACCACCCTGAACTGGATCTCACAGAAGAGGTTGTTTTTTCCACAGTTTACAAACAATTTTTGTCCAATTGCGTTGTTAAAAATGTGTCATGCTATAAATTAGTAAGGTTAAGCTTCTATCTGATTCTACATTTATTTTTGAAATTAACTGCAAACGAGATTTTGATATTTAAAATAAACTGCCATTTTCACGAAATAATCTTTGCTAGCGTAATAAAACCCAAATGCTCATGCTCCTTAGCGAGCATTTGCATTAAAGAACGATATTTTACATTTGCCACGTCCATAAAAATATAAACTTAAGCAAAGTGCAGTTTTGTGCTGTCATAAAACAGCTTCTCATCCTCCATTATAAAACGTTTCTAGCTAAATCTTTTATTAGCCTCTCTTCCATCCGACAAGCTGCTTTCTTTTAAAGTGGGAACACGTTGCGGTATATATTTCCATTAAAATATTGCTTCTTGGTGCTCAAGACTCTCGAATCGCTTTCTATTTTTATATTGTTGTACGGAAAGCCCCGTGCAAAAGCCTTCTTCTGAGACACTGAAGACGTCCTTGCATTTAGAAAAGAGCTGCTGCCAAGCAAGTGAAGCCAAGACTTATGTCTTAAGCCGTTTTGATGGGCGTTTGTGGCCCACACATGTGCAATTAATAAAAACATCTTGCACGGAAAGTTTTCCCCAGTCTAATTACAGGTGAGTCTGTTCGACCAACTTCCCAAATCCCCTGTGGATCAACATATTGAGCACTGAAGTGGCCAAATGCAAAAGGTAAATGTAAATAGAGGTGTGCGTCTTTGCAGTAAAGGGGGGCAAACAGATTTGTTACCTGGAGGAGAAATTCCAATAAAGAAAGCAGAAAATCAATAAAATCCAATATAAAAAAAGTGAGAGACGACGAAGAACGTTGTCATCAACGCTGCCCTGCCATTTATTTGCGAAACTAATTTAAGTTCAGAGAAATACTGTTCATTCGAAGAGTAATATCCGTTTATTTGTCAAACTCTGGCGAACTTTCTTCATCCAAAGCCTTTGAAGTTCCAATGAAATACAATGAAGGCCAAGAAACCTCTGAGAAACGGTGGTACCTCAAAGTATATTGAATTCAGTTTACCAATTTATAAGTGAAGCTGACTTGAAAGTCACAGCAACCTTTTATTCAATAAAAATGGTGTCGACCCACTAAAAATAAAACCCATTTAAAAACAAAGCATCCATTAGCACATCAATTAACTTGTTGTACATATAGTACCTGGAACCGAACTCACACACACAGTACGTGCTGAGATGGGGTGGACCATAGTCACATATTTATATGGTATATTTTGGAACAAACTTTTACGACTATGGTAATAAAATATACAGTTTTATATTTTATGTTCTTATTAGTGGTTATTACACTATTTGTGAACACCGTTAAGAGCTTACATATTACTAAGCGTCAGTTTCTATAGTCATTGTTAAAGTTCCTGATAGTAATCTGACCGAAACAGATGAACACCAGATAAATCAGTAGTCTATTCTTCTGTAATTTAAATCGAGAAAGACTCAAAACTTTCTGTAAAACACTAAACTGTGAAATGGTAAAAAATTAAAGAAAAAAAACTGTTCATAAGAGAAATAATCTGTTCGCGACACCTAAACAGTAAGTAAGCATTAATATAATAATATTTTTTTAGTTTGAACTTTTGTTTTTCCACCTTAAAAATGCGAAAATTACATCAAGGATAAGTTATTCAAGTTAAATTGTTCGAATATTTCAGTTTTTTTTTCATTCATAATATAACAAAATGTTGTAAAAAGTAAAGAAAGTCCACCCTCAGTAAACACACACTCAGAGCAAATAAGTGTGCGTGTGAGTACTTTAAAAGTTCGGTGAATTGGGAGGCAGGAGGAAGAAGGAGATAGAATCGGTTTTCCATTCGCATCCGACGATGGTGTGAGGGTTTCTGACCTGACTGACAATTAGGCCAATCATGAGGAATCACTTGCCATGACAAACGCCCGCGCCACGTGTATACACACATACATTCCTACTTATGTACGTACAAATTGATGTATTGTTTTTGGGCGCCGAGTGCCCCATCAGGAGTCACCAGGGAGCTCCTCTGACAATACCGGACGAGAAGAAGGATCCATGGACGACAGGCACTCGGTGCAGGGCACGCAAATTCAACGGAGAATGTGCGCCATCCAAATAATTTAGACAATGGCACTCGTGCGCACACGCCATGCCCAGGAAACAGGATGTGGCGTACACAGCACACAGCACACACACCCACAAACACATACGGAGACCGTCAAAACATATACAAACACACCCAAAGACAGACAAAGGCTGACAAAACAGAGGCGACAATTTTAGTGCTATTTTCGGTCATCACTTGGCTTTAGAGGAGGTCAGAACAGGGAACGGAACCTATTGGGACATGGCATAGAAGCTATCTATCCTCCTGCTCATCGTGCTCCTCCTGTTCCCCAAACTCCTATTATTTCCCATTTCCCGCTCGTGTGTATCTGCTGCCCAGCATATGTTGTCACTTAGGCTGCGGTCTCCTTGCTTCTAGCTTCTGTCCCAGCAGCTGCAGCTACACTGGGGGAAAAGTTAAAGTAAAATTGAAATTAATTTATATATTTGTATAATCTACAACTTTATTGTTTATTTAATATAAATATGCAAATGTACCTTTAAATTTATTTGTAATTAAGAAACATCAAGACCATCTCTGTGTTATTTACGTTATGTTTTGTTCTGTACTACCTTTCTTTTAGTGTAATAAAACATAGAGAAATACAGAGCACACTAACAGCAGAGCAAAAAAAGTCCTTTTATTATTCGTTTGCCACCTTTCTTGAAAGCTGATGGCGTATCCATCTTTTGGGGCGCAAGAAGAGGAATCGCTCTTTCAAGGCGTAATTGAGTTTGCTCGCAGGACGTGCATAAAATGTTCAAAACTGATCCAGTGAAAACTTTTGCTCATAAACGAATTTTACGCTCCCGAAAAGAATATGCAAAAATATGAGTATTTTAATTGGAATAACTTCACGGCTACAACATATTGTGGTGCGTGGGAGTCGATAAATTGCATTAGACCAGGGAAATTGCCCAACAAAAAAGTTAGACAGACAAAAGTTTGTTTCTCGATTGGCAGGAGGCTAGTTGCTCAGCCCTAAATGGATGGTTTCTAAGTGAGTGATGCGATCTGGTACACAGATTAGCCAACGCAGGACTCGGACGACTGCCGGCCCAACTTTCCCAGCTATTTAGCCAGACAACAAAAACTTGCTCTGATTGATGACGCTTTATGGGAGAAGTTGGCCATGGAAGTGGCAGTGTGTATCTGCCGATGGCGTTTCAGTAAATTAATTTACATTTTGTGGAACTAATAGAGGAGCACTTTTATCTCATTTAATTATCAGTCGTTGGAATTAAACGTAATTGCATGACAAATACTGAAATGACGGTGATATTGCTCGTTTGAGTCCGAGTGGCGAAAGCTGAACTCATTATTACAGTTTCCGTAATTACTATTTGCCCATTTGATTATTTACAAATGAAAGCAGATTTTATTAATTGCACATATTATAATTAACTATACTCTCTTTTTTGCCACCTCAACAATTTGTTTTCCACTTTGTTTGCCAATTTTTTTACTCAAAAACTTATTGCCAACAACTTACTGAACAACAGTTTAACTATCAGATGGTACTTTTTTTATTCGCACTTAGTCTTAACAGCTTTCTCTAGGTTTTAATTAAGTTAGAAAAACACTTTGCATCCGCAACAAAGTAAAACCAATTTACACTAAGCTCAGATTTTCACGGAAAGTTCATCGCTGGCAAGTTATACTGTGCCCGTTTGCTATGGTAAATAGCGGAGCTCATTTGGCCCAAACCGCCCTCTTGACCTGGTCCCCAAGCGCCTTAAATGGAGCAGACTAACTAGAGAAATGCATCAAGCATAACCGCACGACCTCCACCTTTAACCCCCTGTCACACGGCAGGAGGCAATGCAATTTCCAAATTGCTTTCTCTGAACTGGGAAACAATTCCTGCCGTGTGTGTGTGTGTTTAAATGTGTGTAAATTGGCCTGGCTCCCTACTATCCCACATCCTCATCGACATCCATACGCCCGTTCACGTTTTGCTGCTAAAGCTCCTTACACTAATTACACAAATTGAACTCAATTTATTGTTGCCATGGGAGTAAAACTCGATGGCTGCTCCTGCTGTTGCCTGAGGTGACACGCTCCAAGTGGCAGCAATTTGGTTAATATTAAATAAGTACATGCATATTAATTATATGCATAATTACACGACCAGACGCGGGCTGCCCTCCTATTTGGGTGTTGGCTGTAATTAAAACGAGCTGACATTGCGTATACGTAACGTGACTAGCAGCTAAGCTGGCGTGTTCCCAGAAGTGCATACTGTTGAAGTAAAAAGAAATAAAGGTTCATTAAAAATAAAAATAGTTTATTTAAAATTAAAAAGAAACACAAAAAGTGTGGTTTAAATAGCATTAAGTCAAGTAAATTAATTGTTTAAACATATTACGTATACGCAACGTTGTACAGTAATTGTCAGAAAGTATTTAAAATGGAAGATTATTTGAAAACCTAAAGATTTTGCGCTTGGATTGGATTTATTTTTTAGAAAACCAGAACACGTCTTAAGACCTATTTCCGCACGTTTCCTCTGTGCCTGTGGGTGAGATTTCTGATTTCTGCTCCATACACAAGTTGATTATGCTTCTGACAGAGTCATTAACAATTTGCTGGTCTGGATTTACTCTGATTTTATTTGCATCTCCTTCATTTTTCCCTCTTAGCTATTTTTCCGGAAGCGGGAGCGGCAACAGCAGAAGCAGCAGCCGGAACTGTAGCACAACCAAAAGCCGATCAGCAGACCATTCTGCTTTGAGTGTTTTATGGGCCCTGAGTGACAGCAACAGCCCCAACAACCAACTACCACTGGCAGCAGCAACATCAACACTAGCTTGGGGGCAAGCAGGAAGTATCAACACAAGCCGGGGAAACAAAGCAATCTATAAAGATGGCCGGCGGGGGCAGGACAGCCGGCAAATACGGTTATTCGGACAACAATTATTACAGTAGTGAGTACATAAAGATAATGCGGACACTGATGGGGAATTATATTGTACAACTTTCAGTTTCAGTAAATATATAGAAATAGAATAAAAGCGTTTATTGAAACCAACTAAATATTACTTAATAATTTGTAGTCTTTATTTCATTTAACTTTTAATTCTTTAAACAAATATTTTAAATAGGATTACGATTTTTTTAGTTATTTATTTATTGTTCTTTTTGCAATCCTTAACTAAAGTTTTGAAGCCTTTTATTAAAATTGTTTAATTCTTTTTAGAAACGGTTCTTTGATTACCATTTAATATGTCCACTAATACCTCCACTTTCCTCTGATGATTTGTCGCGACCCGAAAGACATGTCCTCGACTCATGGCAGGAATACTAGCATATCGTTTTTTATTGAGCTTAAATTTTTTATTTGTATCTTAAAATGTTGACCTTTATATTACAAGTTGAATTATATTTTGAAGGAAAATGATTTTTTTTATCTTAATGCAAAAAGATTTGAATACCGGTAAACTCCAAGCCAAAAACTTGACTATTGAAAACGTGTTGTTAATATTTGTTTATAAATAAATGATTACATTCATTCGCACGGAAGAGCACACTTTAGCTAAGCTCGAAATGGAAAAAAAATGATATTTATTGAGATTATTACTGGTTCATGAATAAATGACAAGCCTCATTGTTATTTCATCCCTAACCACTGTACACATCCTTCCAGATTTTTTGGTTTGAGTTATTGGGTGGCTGTTAGGGTGGGCCATTGTCCGCTCTGTCGCCCATTTGGCGGGCTTAGGTTGCCATCGCCCCTGCCTCCCGCAAGGCTGGCGTCGTCCTGCCGTCCTTGCTTTGGGTGGAGAGTGGGATGCTGGATACTGGATGCTGAATGTTCGGGATGTTGATAAAGTCCTGCCGCATGCCTCACCGTAATCAGTGTTGAAAAGCGTGTTTTTATTCGTGTCTTGATTACGTATGTATGTTCCGCGCATTCTTGCTCCGCCTGTCTGGGTTTTTATTACATTTATTTCATTATTCCCGCGTTTCTTGTACACGAGGCAGTTGCCTTGAGAATGTGTGCACGTGTGTTTCTACATTATTTGTTTATGCGTATGTCAGCTGGGGATTTGTGTGCGATTCCTGGTTCGGTCCTTTGGTACTCATCATATCATTCACCTGGGAAAGCATTATATATTTTAGTCGCTCGAAGTAATAAAGTTTGCCTTGATTTTCACTCCCGTGAATGATTTTAGGTGAGGAACTGGCTGAAGCAGATAAGCGAAGGACTTCTTGCTGTGTTTGCATAAAGTTTTTGTTTTCCTCTGTCCCAAAAAGTCCGTTAAGTGAGTTCGAACGCCTTTAAAAAAGAAGCCCGCCCGCTGGCCAGATTTTCTCGCTATTTCCCTGGATAGGCATTTGTACTTTTGAATATTTTTTACTTATATTTATTATAGCAACAAATTGTGCATAATATGAATTTATTGGTCATCAAAACAATCTTGAAATAAGCTGGTTATGGTTATTTAATAACCTGAACCTAAAAATAACCGCTTTGTTAGGAACAATTTAGATGCTTAACTTGTTAAAATCGACTTTCTTTTACTTGGCTATCCTTTAACATCAATAAAATTTCCTCAAAGATAGTTCCCTGGGAACGGTTTTATTCTTTAAAGGTGTACCTGCATTTCACGGAAATAATCAAGTTGGATAAGTAAGTTAAATTCGAATTTTCTCAACTGTGGGATACACTTTTAAAATTCAGATTCAGATTTTTAAGGTTTATGTTTCATATTTAATTCGTGTATATTTTAATAGAGACCTGAATATTAATATAAAATGCTCATTTTGCCCATTCGGGAAATTCCTTGGTGCCCGGATAGATAATCTTGGTCCAGATTGTTCCGGTGAATAGCAGACAACAGAAGGCCCAAAAGGTTGGTAAAATTCCAGCTATCGCCATATACTTCGTCTTGAGTCCCGAAAAGCCGGCTATGATTGCATTGGGTGGAGTGCTCACTGGCAGATGGAAGGCCAAACTGCAGGCCAAAGATGCTGGGAAAGTCAGTGACAAGGGGTGCACTTTGATGGCCAAGGCCTAAAATATGAGGATGGGGAATATTACTAGCCAAATTCTATTACAGCACATAGAGTATTATAGTACATTAAGAAATTGTTTATGATCATAATTAGTATAATTAGAAAGGCAAAAAATATACATAAATATCAAAATTACAAGAAAATAGCTTAGAAGAGCTATCCGTATCGCAATTTGACACAAATAGGCGCCTTACCATTTCCGAAAAGATCGGAATTAAAATGTTGCACATGGCCACGTTGGAAGTAAAGGCTGTGCAGATTAGGGCTATAATGATGCACATGCCCACCACCAATACGGAGTGCATTTTGGAGGCGAAAGACAGCGAGTCTCCAAGCAATTTGGCCATTCCGCTTACCTGGCTGCCCTCGGCCAAGGCAAATCCTCCACCTGCAAAGAAAATGTGACATCATTAAAGAAGGCAGGGGCGATAAATATGTAATAAACTCCGATTTATCTGAACAATTTTCAGAGGCCGTAAAAAATGTATTTATAAATATGTTTTGAATATTTATTGCCGCTCCAAAATGCAGGTCAAATTCAGACTCTGGATGAATTTCAGGATTGTTAGTGCTCCGGGAGCTAATATGTGGCTCTATAATTTTCGGTCAGCAAATAATAGACCAAGAAAGAACTCTTACCCAGTAGAAAGCAAAGACCGAACGGCGTATTCTTTAGGCAATAGACCCAAGAAAGACAAGCATCCAACGTCTGGCCGGGAAAGGGGGCCTTCCCGCAGCAGTACTTGAAGAAGGTGTACTGAGTAGGCAGGGCAAAGAGCAGGATGACTGCAAAAAATACCGGCGGTCCACTCATAATTTTTCTGGAAATTAATGAAGAAAGGAAATCAAATTCGCAAGCACCTCCAAGTTGCTGAGAAAAGCTCACTGTGCATTCAGGAAGTCAGCCCAGCCCTTAACAAAGCCCGGTTTTCGCGTAAAAAGCAAGATAACCATCAATATAAAGACCACTGCCACCTGGATCTCGTGACAGGTCATGGGTCCCAGCGCGGCCTTGCTCTCCTTGATCACATTCTTGACGACTTCCTTTCCCTCGGCGCCCTTCTTGATCTCCGCTCCCACCTTGCTCTTCGGCCGGAAGAGACCCATATGGGTGATTTGAAGCGAAAAGTAGGTGAGCAAGATGAGTGCGATGACCACAAAGGGCATGCAGTATGCCATAAATATGGGGAAGTCTAATGTCTCAACAGAATTCGGGAACCGCCTGTGGGGCCCTGTGAATTAGCATAACAATAGACACTCGCAGTCAAATCTTACGAGTCATAAAGTCCCTTGAAGGTAAGGTTTGTCCCGGTTCCTATCAGGGTGCCACAACCGCCGATCGAAGAGGCGTAAGCGATTCCAAGATAAAAGGACATTGCGATGGTCGATGGGTGCGGAACACTGTAAACATTGAAATGGGATTGGATATAAAAGATTATATCTTGTATCTGTATCAATTGGATACTTACCTACCTTCCTCCATCGGCTCTTCTTCCTGAGTCTTGTAGATGGCAAACACATTTTGCTAAAAAAAAGGAAAATAAATAGAATTAGAAGTATCACGATTATAGGAATTCCCTTATGAATCAAGTAAAACTGTCTTACTGTTTCCATTTCAAGAAGCACCGCCTTGACTATGGGACACATCATGGCCGTGGTTGCCGAATTAGAGATCCACAGTGATATAAAGCAAGTCACCATGACCAAGCCAAAGTGCAGACTGAGGAAGGGATCTTAGGTTTTGCCTGTAAGCCAAATAAAAAACTGAGTCTTACCGCCTTGGACTGCATCCGACTATCAGAATAGCCACCAATGCGATTCTCTGATTAAGCCTGCTGTATTCGATGGCCAGTGCGATCAGCAAGCCACCAAGAAACATAACCACAGTGTCACTGAAGTAAAAGCGGCAAACGGTCTCCGAGGGCTTTAAAGAATGGTAACAAGAATTTTAGAAAGTTTAAAAATGTATATAAACCAGGGTAAAAGGCAAAGCCTAAACATATATTGGTATTTTTGGAACATAGTTCTTGGCAACATAATTCTTAGTAACATAGTTAGCCATATGTCTTTATATACATACCAAAATACCAAATAATGGCAGGAAAACCACCGGTAACATAGCCGTCACATAAAGTGGAATAACCTCGGTTATCCAGTAAAACGCCATAATAATCACAAGGTACATGCATTTATAAGCCTGCAAGTGAGGAGGTGGTACACCCTAAAGGGCTGAGTTCAGGGAATATTAGTTCTTACCGGGTTGTTGTTAAGGTAGGCAAATATCAGTAAGGGCAATAAAAGAAGAGGTATGAGAATGGTCGCCTTACCCCTCCAATGGAAACCACAACAGCGCTTCATCGCCTGCCCTCCTCCAATTTTGGTATCGCTGCAAGAGGAATTCTAATAATCTAATTTGATACTTACTCATCTTAATGATCTTACTCTGCCATTTTTTTTTTATTTTCTTTAAATGTCTGATGTGATTGTATGAATCAAGCCTATTTACGCATAGCTCACTTATCAGAAAGGAAGTACATTTGCCATATTGTTCCTTTCTTCCTTCTTTTTTGGTTAGTTCTAAATAGTATTATTCTTACATGTTATTAACTAAGCTAAAAATTTATTTTGACGCCTCTCGTGTCGTCTTTCAGTTTTCAAATACAACAAATGTATATAGTGAACTCAAATCTCACTGCACAGGAAAAGGAACATTAATGGCAAGGGAGGAGATTTATGGTTGTACTCATCTACTTCTTAGGCTAAAGACACTAACATCTAAGATACTGTTGTTCTCAAAGAGCACACTGATAATTTAAGAAGGTTGATACACACAGAAATAAATATATTTTTATTACATTTATATTAGTGGTACAACTCTTAAGGTTCTACCAATTTTTATTATATGATTCCGAGTATCTTGAGGTTTACCATAACTTGCTCACAACATACATATAGCTCTATATTAGCTCTTTCATTAGTGCTAAGATTGGTGTTGGGTAATTATTCATTTTTAAGATAATGGCAAAATTTAAGTGATTCGAACGGGACATGAAACGGGAGTGATTTTTGAGGTCAATCAATTTAATCGTCAATTTCTGCAAATCCAAAAGGAATATTTTAATGCAACTAAACGTGATGCCTCTTAAATTGTTATGGCAATTTATTTTTGAATCTTTGCATTCTCGGAGAGATGATAAAAAGAATTCAAAGCATATTGCCTCTGTTTAAGAAGGGAATACTCTTTTTTAATATTTTTTAATATGTGCAGTTAAGTCTTTTGTTATATTTGAGCAATATAAATTGATTCTTATGAATCGATGATTGAATTGCAAAACTGTCATTTTGTTTTTATAAATTTATTGAGTTGAGGTATCCAAAATAGAATTTTGCGGTCATCCAACTACTTCCTTAAACGCATTTATGTATGAAGGAGGTTTTACAAAAGTCAGAGGGGGCCTCAATTTTCACCACGAATTTCTGAGCAAATTGGTAAATAACGTAACAACTTAATTTTAGAGCTATAAATTGAATCCAGCACGGGTGTCGTTTTTATCATCAGCCCATGACGGGTATTCAGAGAGGCCCTTGAAGACAAGTTTTCCATATGTGTTGGCATTAAATATGACCATAAAATATCCAATTATGCTGGGCACTATACCGGACAGGGCCTGCGAGAAACATTCCAGTTAAATCGAGTTGACGGGTTATCCTGAAACGCTCTACTCACCAGATATTTGGTCTTGATGTTAGCATATTGACAAACCATTGCATTTGGCGGTGTGCTCACGGGCAGAAAGTAACACATACTGATGCTCACCGTAGTGGGCAGAGTGAGGACGAGGGGATGGATTTTTATGACGACAGCCTGTGGGCAGGACGGAAACATTACTTATTGCAAGCAACCAGAAACTAGTTAGCAAATATGTAGTGAACTATAAAATCAGTCAATCAGTGAAGTTAAAAAACGACAAATACTCCGATAAATATAAATATGCACATATTTCTCACCATCTCACATAAGACCGGTATCATAATATTGGCAACAACCACGTTCGAATTGACAGCGGAGACCAACATGCCCATCAAAACCATTATCATCTGTACCGCATACGCTGGCATTGAGCTAAACACTTTCAAGGAGTCGGCTACCATACGATTCACCCCAGAAGTCTGGCTAGCCTCAGCCAAGGCGAATCCTCCGCCTGAAAGAAAGAGCAGTTCCAAGATCGTTTCGGCGGTGTTAGGAGTGGCCAAATGCATACCCAATAGAAAGACGAGACCCCACGGTATATTTTCGTGCACGAATCGCCAAGAGAGCAGTGAATCTAGCTGTTGGCCTGGAAAGGGTGCTGCAAGAAGAGAGTTAGAAAACTGCAGACTTGCTTGAGGAATTGAAGCGCTTACCTTTGCCACAACAGTACTTAAAGAAGACATATTGAGTGGGTAAAGCAAAAAGAACCAGAATAATTAGGATCACTGGTGCGGAGCCTTTCACTTGCCTAATGTAAAATACAATTAGTTATTCATTTATTCATGTGAGATATTTGTCGTCAAAATGAAAGCATATTAAGAAATATCCTAGACTACAACGACATCAGGCTTTCGTTACATTCGTTACAGTCACGTTTTATCAAAGAGTTATCTATCATAGAGACGGCGAGTAATCACCCATAAAGACGACTAGGATCAGTGCAAAATGGCGGCAAGTAGGCGAGTGCCCGACAAGAAAATACACCGAGAGAATAGGAGCGGAAAGACGAACAAAGACGAGTAGACGCCAACGCGACACGCAAAGAATGTTAAGTTTGAGATTTTAACGATAGAAATTCTTAGTTTGAGCCATTAACAAAGAAGGTCGCAGAGCCTCAGATCCTTGAGACGAAAAAGGCTTAACGTACGAAACTGGAATACATACTATAAGCCGTGCGACCAGATTATATTTTTGAGAACGCAAAATATTATCATAATTGGATGTCATAGTTCTCTTTGTAAACATATTTTGTATAAATATAAAATACATTAACATACAAATGCCTATAGCTTGCAAATAACTGGTGACCGTTTTTTTTCTTGTGCTCTCGTTGCGAGCACAACCAAAGGAGTTCATACTCTCTCGCTCTCGCTCTGAGCAAGAGAGTTTTGCTGTCTTCATTTCTGTTTTCTGTTGAGCGCTTTTCGTTGACCTCTTTATAATTCGGTCGTTTAATGAGCAGTGCGTAAAGAGCGGAACGAGAAACGCTCGCACAAAGGGAGTCAGCAAAAAAGACTGATTGACCGAAAAACTCAGTGCAAACGGTCTTCACATTTTCTTTCGTTGTTGTTGCAATTAATATATTTCGTCTGCAAAACGAATTATTGTGAATGTATACCAATACATATGCAAAGAAATAATACAATATGATCGCAATTGAACGTTTAACGATTTGCTTACCTATGCGTGTGAATGTATACCAATACATACGCAAAAGACTTTTTTCTTCACTGAACACGACAAAACGGTCTTGGAACAAAACAGAATAGAAAAAAATGGTTTCGCTCTGAGCTCTAGCGAGCTCATTCAAGAACCCATGAAACGGTTGCTCTCTGAGTCTTTTCGTAAAGAGTCAGAGAGAGACACTTATTTGTAGACAACGAGAAACGGTCGACAGTTATTTGCAAGCTCTATTTGAAATACCATATACTTGTTCAAAACTATCTTACACATTTAAGCTAAAAAATATTCCCAAATTCATTCACGACTTACTTTGCGTTGACTAGCGTATCCCAGCCATCAAAGAACCCGGGTCTGCGGGTAAAGAGAAGAATGATCATCAAAATGAATATAAGGGCTACCTGGATCTCGTGGCAGGACATGGGGCCCAATTCTTTATAACGCTGTCGCATGACCTCTTCCACCAATTTCTTGTTCTCATTGGCTTTCTTTACGGCCTGTCCCGTTTTGCTATTGGGTCGAAACAAACCCATGTGGGTGATCAGAAAGCTAAAGTAGACGCATACAGCATTCAAGATGCAGACAATGGGCAGACAGTACATCATAAAGTTGGTGAATGTGATCTCTTCGTCGGCATTGGGAAAGCGCCTGTGGAAACATTAAATGAATCGTTCAATTTTGAATACAAAAATATATTACAAATGTTTCTTGTACACCTATGTTACTAAAAGTTCAAGGACTAATGTAAATAATTTCGTGGAAGTAATAATAACTTCTTACATAAAACATACTTGGAAATTAAGAATAAAAACATATATTATTAAGATGCATAACGACATACAATTTTGTTCTTCTAGAATTATTGGGTTTGGCTCAAATCTAGATCCAACAGCCTATTAACTGTTGAAAATCTAGGGGGCCAGCAGCAGAAGTCCCTGCTTAAATATTGATTTCAAAATATATGGGAGTTAAGCATCTTATTATTATTATATATACTAGTTGGACTTTTAGGACTCTGCTCTAGACAATTTCCTTACTGATTGTAAATGCCCCTAAACACCAGGTTTGTGCCAGTGCCAATCAGAGTTCCAGTTCCCCCAATTCCCGCGCAATAAGCTACAGCTATATAGAAGACCATCGCCAGCATGTTTAGATGTGGAGGCCTAGAGAAGATCAAAGGCAACTGAATTTGTTAACTGCGTGATAATTCTTTCTACTCACTCGTCCTCCCCCGTGGGTTCTTCTTCTTGTGTCATATAAACCGGAAATACATTATTCTGCAAGGCAAAATCAGGAGTAGAATACAAGTATTCGAGATCGATGAGCTTACAACTTCCATTTCGTTTATTACGGCCTTGACTATGGGACACATCATAGCCGTTCCAGCTGAGTTCGAAATCCACATGCTAACGAAAACCGTGACTATCAAAATTCCCGCCAGCAAGCTGAAATGCATCACGATTATAGAAACAAAAGAAGTAGTCTATAGGAACTATCTGGGCTTATACATATTCCTAGTACTTACCGCCTCGGACTTCCGCCGACAATCCGTATAACTCGAAGGGCGATGCGAGTATGGAGATTAGAGTACTCTATAGCCAGGGCCACAATCAGACCGCCCAGGAACATGACCACTGTGTCGGAGAAGTACTTGGCACAAACCACATCTGCCGACTGGTAACAATTATGATTAATGGCAACCAATGAGGTACATTTAAATTAAATCGATTTGTAGCAATGCAATCTCCGAAGAATGAAATTGCGAAGGCATTCGGACACACTTACGACAAGGCCGGTCAAGGGGAGGAATGCAACCGGCAGCAATGCGGTAACGTAGATGGGAATGGCCTCGGTGATCCACAGCAGGGCCATGGTGACGATCATGTAAAAGCACTTGTACTCCTACGCAGCATATGGTTAGTCACATTAGGTGGTTCTTTCTCTGTCCTGTACTCACTTTTTTGTTTTGCTGAATTCCCAAGATAAAGATTGGAGATGTTAATATCGGTATGATAACGGAAAGCTTTCCCCGCCAGTGGTACTTGCAACAGTTCCGAGCGGCAAACCTCCTTGGTCTAGGAAAAGGCAAGACGAATTATTAATGCAGATCTGAAGGGGGTTCGAGGGTTTTGGAACTAACGGTTTGGGATCTTCCATGTTGTCTGCACTGAAGGAGTTGGCTTGTCTTTAATGTAAAATTGAAAAACTGGTTAACATAAATAAAAATGTTTGAATTTAGGCGCAGCAGTCACTATGTGAGTATATCTTGGTATCCCAGCAATCACCCGTCCTTCCCAGAAAACTAGATTTAAATCTGATATCTTTGATGTCGCTTAATTGATAATTTCCTGAGCCATCAAGGCCCACAATCATGGGAGGTCAAACTGAAATTTGAGAAAACGGCACTCAGAGAAACTTAACGATATTTGTAATTTATTATACATATATTTTGTTTTATTCCTTTTTTATTTCATTATTTCTTTCCGCTTTATTATCATATCCTAACAGGAGGATATTTATTTTAAAAGTTACCTTCACACAGACATATATCTAACATTTAGATTTATTGACCAGACTTGTGCTCCTCTTTCTTTGTGCACCATAAAAGTAAAAAAAAAGAAAAAAACATCCTTGTCGGAGAAAGCGAGGAGTCCTGCTCCAATCTGGCTTAAATTAAATTCCTCAATGTTGGCCAAATCCTTGTGGCCACAAAACATTTCGAAAGATGTCAGACACAGGACAACGCACACTCCCGCACACTTTTGGCAGCGGATATTACATAACGATGTCTGAGTGTGGGACCATTGTTCCCTCTTTGGTGCTCTTTTCGGGTTCGGCTATTCACATAATCTGTCAAATGACTTTATTGACTGTATTTTCGGTAGAGAAGAAAACAATAAATGAAATTTAATACATATCTGCGAGCGGGACATGTGTCCTTGGCTGCCATCCCGAAAATGGTTGGGCTCATCCGTTCGTGAACCTTAATAATTTACGCTCAGTTTGGCTTCGGTCTATGCCCATGGGCTAGCAGTTTCCATTTCGAGTTTCAATTTGTAACACAGGCGTTCGTTTCTTGCATTCGTTTTGCATATTTCACGCTTTCATAATTTACGTTTTGACAGCCAGAACTTTGTCAGGCATCCTGGGATAGGCATCTCTATAAATTATTATTTCATGGGCCGCCCTTCCGACCACAAATTTCACATCCGCTCGGCCATTCGGCCACAAGTAATGGCAAAGTTTTATTGCGCTTTTGATGTTTTAAGCAATTTGTGATCATGAAGGAAAATATATGATTTACATTATGTATATACAAAAAAAGACAAACAATTTCCCAAGAAGCTCAGGCAACAAAACTTTGACCGCACTTGAATATCATTGAAAACTTTCTCACTCTACACAGAAAATAAAAATGGGATACATTTTTCAAATTTAATACAAAGTAGGCATCTTTTCGGGCTAGACTCAAATTTACTTCATTTAAGTTCAAACACTACATTAAAAACCAAAACTCTTGATTTCATCTCGAATTGGCTTAACATGCAAATTTAAACATCTTTTATTTATTCATCAGTAGACCGATCTTAAATTAGTAATACTAAACATTACAAAACGGCCGCTTGTCAATTAGGCGATTCAAACACTTACGTCGGAATAGCGAATATTTATTTATTTAATATTAAGAAATAGCAAATATCTGCCATTATAAATCTATATCTTTACCTCTGATATGCTCCGACTCACATCCGGTGGCCAGAGGCAAGGATAGGTGTCTTAAGATAATGTTTTTATTAAAAGTTTTTTAAATGGCTTGCTTAACTAAATGCACATTTTCTTGATTGTTTCGGTAACCTTTTTTAACTGTGTACTAATGTTAACTCTGTTCAAAGGTCTGTTATGGCATATCCTAGTCCTTTTGATTTTTCTTTCACACTTTTCGAAGGGCTTAAAGTTTGCACTTTTCCGAATTAAAGTCATTTAACTTCGTTTACTCCCAGGAAGTATTCATTTGTATACCCATAACAAGGGGATTGTACATTTTAGTAGTTAGCAGAATGCAACGTAAAACTATTAAAGTATTTATATTAATAAAGCATTAACAACAGAGTCGATCTGTCCATTTTCATTTTTCTCTTTGTTGTTTTTAAACCACTTCGGGATTTCGTAATTGATAATAGTTAAGAATTTTTTTGTTTTTGTTAAGTTAGTTAAGAATTTATTGTTTTTTAAAAGGAAAAATATGGAAAGTTGATATGTATTTTCCATTTCCAGAAGTTGAAAAGCCTGTTATATGGTTGTAGAATATCAGAAAGTTACTATAATTCTCACCAATTAATTACAAATATTATTCTTTAAACTGACTATAAATCAAACTTATTGATTATTTAATGATTAATAATAAAAATAAATAATTAGAAAAAATAATAATAATTATAATAACAAATAACCCTTAAAAATATATATAATGACCCTTCATTTAAGGACCAAAAAGTGTTAATTTGAATAAGATGTTTTGCACTTTGTTTCCTGCATTCGTTTCGAGTTTAATGGCCTGCACAGCGGGTGGAAACCAATCGAAATGATTGCCTATTTATCTGGGCCCAGTGACCATGAACCATGAAGAACACTCATCGCCTCGATGCCGGCAATCAAACACATTAACCGCACAAACACACTAAACATTAAATACTAATACATTATATGTACATATATTTGATATAGAAAGGCAGATTTATGGCGAAACATCGCTTGGGCCAGAGCCCATTTGGCTTTGAGCCCTTGTAATGCGAACCTTCTAATTAACAAATCTGCGGCGGCGGCGTCGCTTTGGCTGCCTGTAAACAAGATTTTAATTCGTTTGATGTGTGTCGGGCGCTGAATGTCGAGGGAATGCTCCATCGATTATGTGTTAAATTACCCATACAGCAAACATCTGGCCCAAATGGGCCCGAACAATGAGAGCCTATTTGCCCAGAGTCGGGAGAGTGGAAATGGCTTTGGTTACGCCAAATTGAATTTCTGCCGACCACGATTTGTATAAATGTTTTAAATTAGTGCAAAGCTCATTTAGAAATAATTACATTCGTTTTTACATGCTTTTTCACTTAATGCACTGCCAGAATGTATCCTTTCAATACATAAAAAGGTTAAATGCAATATTCCAGTGGAATTATAATTTGTTAATTCGTTACTTATATTTTGTACTTTAAATTATATCAAGTTCTTTTTTGTTTAAATATATTTTGTTACATTGATTAAAACTTTTAATTTAAAAGTGAATGTTGTACGAAAAATGTTCTACCATAAACAACAATTTGTTTAAATTCCAGACTCGTAAAATAATAAATTGTAAAATTACTATATTCTATTGAGTAGTTTTATGTTTAGGTAAATGTTGTTTTTATTAATTTATCACTCCTTAACATAATGACATATGGCTGACCCTATGAATTATTTAAATGTAAACCCAAAATCAAAGTTAAATGAATTCTTGTTAAATTAATTTACTGTATTACGTTTTTTATGCTTATTGATATATGTGTATAGGTTATTTATTTATTTAATTTAGCCTATAACCCCTTGACATATTGACAAATGGTGAACCCTTTAGATTATTTAAATGTAAACCCCATATATGTTTGTTTGTTTATTTGTGTTTTCGCATAAATTTCATTTCGGTGATAATTGCATTAATAATAATATTTGCAGGGAGATCATAAAATATTGAAACAGCTGGTGTTGTACAAAAGCGAATTGCAAATCCAATTTTCATTTTATTTTTGTTTTTTGCGTATGTATGTCTTTTATGTCTTTTTCTTCACCCGCTGCGTGGCGTGGGTTGTCATCCAGATTGCTTCTGGCATATGGCCATCGTTTATTTTTACAACAATGCATTTGTCATGGTCCAGCTTCATTTTGGTTTGTTTCTTTTTATGCCTTTGTATTGTTTGAATATGCATGGAGTCCTGAAAAACCAAAATGTTGATTGGCAACAGCAGGGAGCCCGCAAGCTACAACTTTCCCAGGCAACCCACTCACAACACACATTTCCCACCTGGCAAGAATAATTGCCTGTAATTTGTCACGTCGGCCTCTAAATCTTCTCTTTGCTTGTTTTTCTGCCGCTCCTTGCAGGTCACTCGTACAAGAGCATCAACGACGAGATTATACTGGTCAGCATCATCATGGGGATTACCATACTGGTGCTCATTACCATCGCCCTGTGCTACATTGCGTATGAGAAATGCCAGAAGAAGCGGGAGTATTACATCAACGCCTAAGGGGTTTCCGGACGTACCCGTTCCTTCCGTTATTTCGCGTTCTTTGTTTCCCTTCTGCAGTGGTGGCACACTGCAAGGCTAAATGTCAACACGGTCTGCGACAATGTTGACGTTGACGATTTAGTTGGCCAACAAAAATAGCCCGGAATGGCTGCATCCGCCCCATACAACCCATACACCCCACACACATCCGGCGAGCACACAAAGGCACGTACACAAATCGGAAGGCAGCAGCGACATTGGTGCTGTTTAAACGATTCTCCATTTCTGTTGGCTCACCCACAGCGGCAGCTGCAGCTTCTCAAGTGACAGCGGAAGCATGGCTTTATCGCCGGGCCGCTGTGCACAGTGGACGCCTCGCGCCACTTGACATTTGACCAGCCAATTAGGCGTGCGCCATTTTGTAATTTTTGGTACTTGTTATCGCAAATAGTCTGCCAAGGAATGGCTTTAAATGCAAACAGCATGGGCTGGGCTTCTCTCCTTAAACTCGTTTCACTATCTGGCCAGCAGAGTACCCAGGGGAAAGAAATTCTTTGGACCTCCCTACATAAATTCCAGATTTTATGCCACACCAAGGCGTTTCAATTTAAAATGCAATTCAGTCGAGTTCCACCATGCAGCGCAACCTTTTGTTTGTCAAAGCCAGCGAGGGAAAATAATTCAACAAAAAAGTAACAAAAAACGTTGAACCAAAACCTCACGCCATGGAATAATGGCAACGAAAGAAATATAAGCGAATCTTTTGCAAGTGCGCTGTGTCGATATTGTTGCCTCCCAATCCCGCAAGCAACGTGCATATGTATCTACACTTGGAAAAATTTATAGCAAACATGTCAGCAAATGGTTGAATATTAGTTAAGAAAGTTAAAAAAATACTCTTTATTTCTTTGGCAACCTACTTACACATACCTACCTAAAATTATATATATTGGAAATTTCCGAGAAATTAACGCTCTTTCTATATTTCATGCCATACTTTTTTAGTTTTACTTCCAATAAAACATAACTTCCTTCCTTTTCTGAACCTTTTACTTTACATTAGAGGGTTTTCTAAATTACCATTTTCAAGTCAAATACGTTTTTATACAAACACAGAAAAATATTTATTTCATTTAAATTTGGCTGACAGAAAATTTGCTGAATTCGTACTTGGGAATTTTAGGGACAAAACCTGGTAAAAGTGTATTAATTTTTAGAGAATTAAGGTTACTATTTAAAGTTCTAAATAATTTTTAAAAAGACAATTGTATTTACACTTTTATAGAAACATATTTATTTAATTTTTATTTTGATGGTAGACAATTTGCTGAATTCGTACTTGGGAATTTTAGGGGCAAAACCTGTAAAGCGATAAAAGTGTATTAATTTCTAGGAAATTTAGGTAACTATTTAAAAATCGCAATAATTTTCAGAAAGATGATAGTATTTACATTTTTAATTTTAATGTTCAACAGACATGTATTTTTTCAAGTGTACATACACTCACACATATATGCCAATTTTCGAATATTGACAGCGCGGGAGCATTTAACCAACGGATGGACAGGGCCACGGAGAGGCGTACCCTGCCAGCGAGTGACTTTTCTTATATTCTTTATTCTTGGCCCTTTTTGTCTGTTCAGCTCCCTCCATTTTTTTTCGTAGTGGGTTCAAGAACATTCCTCGAGGCTGTAATAATAAAACAGTAACGGAAACTCGGTGCAGTGCACGCGGACAAAGCGTAAAGGAACAATAAAAGAAGCAATCGCACAGCGATTCCATGGCAGCAAAGCGATTCGGGACCGGAGATAAAGGCCAGAAAGAGTTCGCATTAAATTAGACCAAAATGGACCACATTTAGAGGTCCTTTTGGGCCAAGAGGCATGGGAGCTGTGAGCGCATATATTAAAGCTCTTCTCTTCGGCCGGATGGCCCAAAATATCCTATCAATACATAAACGTATTTCGGCTCACATCGACACAGCCGCCACAAAAACAAGCACACATCCGCCTTTTGCGAATGTGTCGAGAACTCAATGTTAATCAGCTTAGACAACCTCCGTCATCGGTTTGCGGGGCTTTTTTGGTTGTTGTTTTTCCTCGTTCTTTTTTGGGCCCATCAAGAGGCCTAAAAGCAAACAAATAACTCGATTTTTCGGGGCGGTGTGGGGTTTATCCCCTGGAAATGCTTTTAAAAATTAAACAACTGATAAATGACAAAGTTCGTTGGACCAGAAATTATCGTTTGACAAATTGGCAGGCCATGATGATGAGGCCTCATCAATTGCCAGGCAACCACGTGGAGACCGTTAGATTCTCCGGCCAAGGGACCCTTACGAAAAGCCAGACGAATTACTTATGAGTAAATGGGTCTATTGACATGGAAAATTAACTCTTAGTGGATTTTGTTTACGAAGGATTTATGCTTCAGTTAAAATACTGTCTGTGTGTAGTGGAGTTCAGCGAATGAAATTAATCATATATGCGAGCTGAGATGTAAGCTCTTTGGCTTAAGATTATTTGCTGGCTTTTACCATTGATTTCCCAATATATTTATGGAAGAAGTCTTAAAGCTTTAAGAATTCATTTTTATTACACTCACACACACATATTTAATATACATTTTTATTGAATTCTTTACTTTGCTAGAGAGGTTATGTCTAGAAGTGTAATGTTATGTTGAACTAAACCAAATCAAACTCATCCATGTACAAGAATTCGTTTAAACTTTAGAACCCTGAAAAATATGCTAACAACTTTGACCACCAACCGAACACAAAAGTTAACTTGACACTCAACCACCGAAACGTATTTTAATAGTGCATCATCAACAATAGCCATGGAAAACTTTACTAATTACCCGTTAAGCGAGAAAAATCCTAGCATAAAAACGCAGAGCAACAACAATAAATTTAACGACGGCCATAATACCACGAGCAAAAAATAAAAGATTGAAAGAACACGAGAGCTAAAATTCTAGCACTTGTCCTGAGTCAGGAAAATCTGTACGTTTGGCACGAGGGGGTTTCCCACTCGAAATGCAGGATTATCCTTTAAGGGAAACTCTCTGAAGCTGCGTGCGAAAAGAATGACTCGAAGCTTCTGAAGCGGATTTCTGATACACAGCCACAGCAGTTCCCATGGCACACGTAGTAAACTTTACGTCCATTTTTATAGTTTTCTTTATTTTTTAGTACGGACGGCTGTCTCACTAATTGCCACATGACTTGGCCAAAGATGAAATGGCTCCGGGACAGGACAAAATTAATGAGATTACTTTATTGTCGCTGGAAGCGAGGACGGACGCATGGTGTATTGTATATGCATTTAATCAATTGCACTTCAGACGTAGCATATAGATATCTATGTAACACAGATAGATGTGACCACTTATACCTAGTAAACTCTATTGAATTTGCAGCTAATTCGAAGGCAGTGCACTCTTTTTTGTCATGAAAAGAGGGACCAAACGTACAACAATGAAACAAAGAATTCCATGCGAAAAGCGTGTACTTTATTTTAACTAAAACTAATTATTAAATCTAACTAAGTGAGATCTATAAATGTTGATAGTAGTGTGAAAATTGTTATAAAACTATATTCGATATATATATATATATATTATGTACATCAATACAATAAAGAGATGTTTATGCATGTTATTGACTTCGAACTGAGGTTTTGTTTCACAATGTCAAATATATAGTAAAATTAATAACTGAATAAATAAAGAAATGTATTCAAAAACTAATGACTGTTCTTTAAATATAATTGACTTTTAAGAAGAGGGGGTCTAATTTATCTTGTCTGTTAAAAATTTAAACCTGAATGGTTTTTTAAATAATTTTTATTTGGCGAGTTATTAGATTATTTTTATTTTTCAGTGTTACAGTTATTATTATTGCATAGTCGAAATTATAGAAATTCAAAGTAAGTAAACTTTAATTACATATTCAACACTTTTTAATGTAAAAAATAAAATTGAAAAATTATGTTTCAATTTAAGTTTTATTTATAAAAAATTATCTTTTATGATTTTTCTAGAAAATATGCTGGATAAATCGTCAAGTTTCAGGTACCGATATCGCATTAAACATAATAATTAGTTTTTAAATATTTACTATTTTTCTCTTTATCTGTTTTTATATTTTGTCGTGAAAGTTTAATTTTACGCCTTGGGGCACCATTCGCTGTTGGTATTTTCCGTTGCTCGGCCTGCGGCCACACTGCACTCTGGCGACCTGCAACAAAAACAACAACACGGAAGTCTGTAAATGTAAATAGACGGAACTTGTTGCAGAGACGGTTAAAAATACAACAAATCGGAGTTGCCGAGTAGCAGAAGCAAGCAGCCACAGGAGAGCCACCAGCTGGTCAACTAAATGCGCATCAAAATGAATTGCGAAGTGCACGAGCAGCAAAAACATCAGCCACAGCAACAACAGCAGCAACAACAGCAGCAAGGCAGCAACAAGTTGCCAGTGAGAAAGCAGGAGAGCTGCTCCGACGACGACGAAAGCCTCGGCCCCAGCCTCAACCGGACGGAGCGCCAGAATCTGGAGTTCGCCAAGAAGCTGGGCTACAGCGAGCAGTCCATCCACTCGGCGCTGACCCGCCTGGGATCGGAGGCCAAGCAAAATGAGCTTCTGGCGGAGCTGATCAAGCTGACTGCCGACGCCCCCCGACCCAGTAATCCGGGGACCAATAGCATCCCCTCCGTCAGCAATGCCAGCCCCGCTGTCGGCTCGATAAGCACCGCCCTGCGACACATCGTCATCGATGGCAGCAACGTGGCCCTGTCGCACGGCAACAACCTGGTCTTCTCCTGCCGCGGCATCCGCATCTGTGTGGACTGGTTCCGGCAGAGGGGTCACCGCGACATCACTGCCTTCGTGCCGAATTGGCGCAAGGAATTGGCCAACAACAACATCGCCGACCAGGAGCTGCTCTACGAGCTGGAACACGAGCGCGTGCTGGTGTTCACGCCATCGCGACATCTGGACGGCAAACGTGTGTCCTGCTATGACGATCGGTTTATCCTCAAGCTGGCCGTGGAAACGGACGGTATTGTGGTGTCGAACGACAACTACAGGGATCTGATCCTGGAGAGCAACGAATTCCGGAGAGTGGTGCAAGAGCGCCTGCTGATGTACTCCTTTGTGAACGACATTTTCATGCCGCCCGACGATCCGCTGGGCAGATCGGGCCCCAACCTGGACCTATTCCTCTGCTCGCAGACGCAGCAGAAAATGGTGGATGCACAGCAGCTGTGTCCCTACGGTAAGAAGTGCACCTACGGGCAGAAGTGCAAGTTTCGGCATCACAATCAGGGACCGCTGCTCCAGCGCCTGCCGCTTCAGGCCTCCCACAGCGCTCCCCTGCACAGCAATGGGGGCCAGCAGGTGCTCAGTCCGGGTGTCAACAACAACATTAAGATCAGCTCGCTCATCAGCCGGGAGCCCCTGGGACGCACTAAATCGAATACCATCGAGCAGGTGTGCCAGGGCTTCTCGGCCCAAATGGACCTGTCCGAGGGTTCGGCGGATTCCAGCCAACCGAATCGCCACAAGAAGCTGCAGCGCCAACAGCCGCCGCCCGCCTATCGCCTTCTGGTGCCCACCTACAGTGCACCTCTCCAGCAGCAGCAGCAGCAACATCAACAGTCAAACACGTCCAGCTCCAACTATCACCATCAGTATCTGACGCGCACGCCCTCCGCCCCGGTCACAGACCAGGGATTGGTACAGCCACTGCCCGCTCGCAACTTTGTCCACCTTTCCGCCTCCGATTCGCGCATCAATGAGGAACTCCACAGCTCACACCAACTGCCCCGGGAGGAGCAGCGTCGTCTGCTGCGGTATCACTTGGGTAGTCTATTTCCGCCGCACCAGGTGCACGCCGTCCTGCAGCTGTATCCCGAGGAGACCGACGCTAAGACCATCTGCGCAGCTATTCTTAATTTATTTCCGCATAATTAGGCTAGACTTAAACTTCATCAATACAATTAGAACTGTAATTACACGCGTGTTTATTAATATTTAGAGTTTCCGCTCTTGGGAAAGAAATCTACATCTCTAGGCCCACAATGTTGGCCGTGTCGTAGGCCATCAGATTGTCGACGTTGTCCCGCCCAGGACCACTGCGGCGCTCATGGATGACCCGATGGTTACGCAGCTTGTACGCCTGAGGGAAACCCTTGCCGCAGATCTCGCACCTAAGAAGAGCCAATGGGAGGTGAATTGAAGGTTAGAATCCTCTAGAAATATTTATGAAAAGAGAAAGCAAAAAACTTACACATGTGGCTTTTCTCCCGTGTGAATCATTTTGTGAAACTTCAGCGTGTTGGTATATGTAAAGGTCTTGTGGCACACATCGCACTCGTAGGGACGCTCGTTGGTGTGAATCCTGGCAGACATGAATGTTAGTTTTATCCCGTTAATACAATAATTGGTTTAACCAGCTAACCTGTGATGCTTGTTGCGGGTGGACAAGTCGGCAAAGGCTGCCGGGCAGTAGCTGCACTTGTACGGCCGATTTCCCGTGTGTGTGTTCATGTGACGGGCCAATTGTTGAGCCTGGGCAAAGCAGTGGCCACAGATCCTGTAAAGTAAAAACTTTAGTTTAGATTTTTACCCTTTTGGCTACTAAAAAGTCATAAGTTACAAAGTTCCTAGCAAACACTTACTCGCACTCATGCGGCTTTACGCCAGAGTGAACCTTGATGTGTTCGGTCAGGCGACTCTGCGAGGGATACATATTGCCGCAAACGTCGCAGATGTACTTGAACTCCTTCTTGTCGCCTACGAGTATCTTGTGACCGCCCTTGGTTTTGACCCCGGCATGTTTTCGCGCCAGAAGTTCACCAATCGAAATGCCGTCCTCGTTAAGAACGATTTTCGTGGTGGCCGCATCATTGTTGCCCCGCCTGATCTTCAGCGGATTGCCGCTGCGGGCACCGTCCTTGGATGTTCCCGCAGCTGCTTTCGCGGACGACGTGGCTGCCTTGCGAGGGCTGGCGCGTCGCTTGATGGCCCCGCGCTTGCTGGCGGCAGCTCTAACCGATCTTGTTGGTATGAATTCGTCCTCGTCAGGATCATCCTCGTGAGCGCTCTCGGTTAATTGATCCTGATCGACGTGGTCCAGGTATTCAATGTCTGCAGAGAGTCCAGAGAGCGAGTGCTCGGCCATTTCCTGCTCGGTTATAATGTCGCCCTCGTAGGTCTCGTACACGTCGTAAACCTCCTCTATGATGCCCTCCTCTTCCACCTGTTCATTTTTAACAGCCACAAGGCGATCCTTCTCGAGTTCTACGAGTATGCCTTCCTCGAGATCGTCGGGGTAGTCGTGGGCCTGGGCATCCGCCGTTTCCTCAGCCTCACCCTCGGCATATTGGCTTCCATCTAGGTCCTCCTCCTCCTCCTCCAATTCCTGCTCATGCTTCATGTCCTCGGTTTCCTGCTCCTGATGGGAAGTTTGATTTGCCCTTTTCTTTGCGGGCGGTCGATGCTCCACCTCCACGGGGGCCACGAACTGCCTCAGGTGGCCGTAGGACCGCTGGCACGTCTGCCGAAACTTGAATGACATTTTGAGCATCTTGCAGCACTTCTCGCATATCTTGTCCGGATAGTGATCAAACTTCTTTATCTGCCGACGGAATTAGAGCAACTATAAGCTTGTTTACCGGAAACGGGACACACTTACGGGAACTCCACCGCACTCGCGGATCATGTGGGTCAAGTCCTTTTCCGTATCGTCGTTGAAAATGCTGGCCATGGGCTCCTTGGGCTGCTGCAGGCACACCCGGCACACAATCCATTTCTGCGTGGCCGCAGGTGCCACAGCCGCAGTCGCTTGTGCGGCCGAGTCTCTCATTGTCGCGAACGGAACGTGGATCTTCCTGGAATCTAGTATATTATATTTTAAAGAACACGCTCGCTTTTAAGACGACGCCAAAAAAACACAATGTAGTCGGGAGCCAAGCTGTAGGCGTTGCAACGCGAATGGCAATTGGACACGGAGCTATCGATAAGATATCGATGTCATATTTTGCTGAATACCGATGTTTTTACATTACATCGTTAAAATTAAATTATCTATATAAAAAAACCTACATTAAATAATTAGAACAAAAAAATATGTAAATCTTTGGTCTATTTAGTTAAAGAAGAAATGGCCTTATTTTTATTTATTAGGTTACAAAATGATGTAAGGAGTTTTATATTACAGAAAATTACTATATTATTGTTTATTTATTTATTAATAAAAAATAAATAAGTAGAATTTAGAAAAGTCTGGAATTATTTATATTTTTTTGCTCATAATAATGATTCTGTGCAAATTTTAATTATTTTGATCATTGGTTTTTTATAATATTACTCAATTTTAATCATTATCAATTATCATAAAAATTCAAATAAAGGTTAAATAATTATCAAGTGATTTTTGAAATTTTAAAATATATATTTTATTATAATGATCACGGTTTAAAATCAATTTCCAACGTGAAAATTTCGTAGTATTACCATTTTACATACATGTATATACATGTCGACGATAGTTGGTGCCATCACTGACACATTCCCTGTGAATGGCCACGGACGCTTGCATTCAGCTGTTGGAATTTATGCATTTCCAAATCGACGACCAGACCAGATCGGCCGAATAATGAAGACAGAGTCCAACGAGAAGTGGATTGTGTGCCGGGTGTGCCTGAATGGCGATGGCGAGGAGATGCTCCACGAGATATTCAGCCAGACGGCCAGCACTCGCCTGGACCAGATGCTGCACATCTGCGCAGGGGTACCAGTAAGTTGGATTTGGTCACCAAGAGGACGCTTTATTTGAAAAAATCAACTCCCGACAGGTCAGCCAGGATGACAACTTCCCCGATAAGATGTGCAGCAAGTGTATGCGCTGCCTGCGACTGTCCTATAAGTTCCGGCTCACCTGTCAGCGGTCCCACCAACACGTCATGGACATGCTTGCCCGGGAGGCCAGGAACACCAATGTGCCAGGCGGCGAGGCGGATAGCCAGAATCTCTCAGATGACTTTACTGCTGAAAACGTGTTCAAGGTTTGGGAGGAGGACACGAGCCAGCTTGATGACGCCTTGAAGGAGGAAGAGGCTCATCAAGAACAGGAAACCCAGGAGATGATCACATACGTGGTGGAGGGAGCCGAGGGTGAAGAAACCATCATATACGATGGCAGCAGCGAGGCAGAGCACACGGAGGTTGTCTTTGATACTGTACAGTCCGGTATTGAGGAGACGGAAGCCTATGCGGAGTACGAGGAATTCGATGAAATAATCCCCGTCGATAATACCTCGCCCTTGCCATCCACGCCAACGGATCAAGAATCTAGAACGCGCTTAGCCAGTGGAGAAATCCGTACGGAGCAACTGCCCGACAATAATATGACGGAATTTGTTCTTAGCTCCGATGAAAACGAAAGTGTAGCCGGGGAAAAGCCCAAATCCAAAGTGCCTGTCAACAGGCAGCGGTCTGGAAAAAAGCTAGCCCAGGCCAGCCGATCCACCGCCGATGGAGACATCGTTGACCGGAAGCTGGGCCGAAAGCCAAGGGAGAAGCACAGCACATACATCTGCGATGTATGCGGAAATATCTATCCCACCCAGGCCCGTCTCACCGAGCACATGAAGTTTCACTCGGGTGTAAAGCCCCATGAATGCGAGTAAGATGCACCCTCATACCGGAGTAAAAGACTCGCCTTAAACAGACTTCTCTTGCAGGATTTGCGGTCGTGGCTTTGTTCAAAATCAACAGCTGGTGAGGCACATGAACACCCATACTGGGAACCGGCCTTACAAGTGCAATTACTGCCCAGCTGCGTTTGCCGATCGTTCCACAAAGACCAAGCATCATAGGTATGTATCAGGCTTACACTTCCTACAGAAGAAGTGCCTATATAGCGTCTTTACATTACAGAATTCACACCAAGGAGCGCCCCTATGAGTGTGATGTGTGCTCAAGGACCTTCACGTACTCGGACAATCTGAAGTTTCACAAGATGATCCACACGGGGGAGAAGCCGCACGTGTAAGCTGTCTCTTGCTTTCTTAATTCCCTTTTTATAAACACTTTTCTTCTCCTTCAGTTGTGATCTTTGTGGAAAGGGTTTTGTGAAGGCCTACAAAATGCGCTTACATCGGGTGACGCATGAACGCCGTGGTCAGTGGAAGTCGACGTCAGATGTGGAGATGAAGAACACTGCGGAGACAGAGACGCCAGAAAAGCACGGTAACTGGAAGGCATCAGCTGTCGAAATGAATACAGAGGATGAATTCGTTAAGGAAGAGATAACGGAGTTCCTTAGTAGTTAGTTCCAAGCTAAGATTGTGTTTCTAACAAAATTTAATTACTACAATCGACGAAGCAATGTAAAATTCCTTGCTTTTATATTATAATCAGTTTGAAACCTAGATTTACTTTGAACATCTTAGAAGAAAAGTCTCCATATGTATATATTGATCTATGTATTTAGTAATTCTTATCAATGATGTTCTTAGTCTTAAGAGTAGTTAATCTAGCTTACGAAGATCGTATATTTTAAAATATCAATACTTGAAGGATAATGTTATGTTAAAAAAAACTTGAAAATTAAATTTTGCTTATTTTCCACACACACATACATTTAATAACAATTAAAATGGTCCTGTATGGTGTTTCTGATTGAAGGACTGGAAAAAGTTTGTTGAATTGCCCACGGTCTGGGCCAAATTCATACTCACACGGTACTATCCCTATGCTTATGATGAGACGAGGGGGAAAAAAAAAGGGTTTCCAGTTGACAAATAGTCCGATTCAAGCTCATAAACAATGGTTTTTGTGGCCGAAAATGTTACAATTTTCGGAATCCGAATAAGATTTCGATTGCGGCCCTTTAAAGACATCATTATCGGGTATAATCCTAAGAATTTGACCGTTTCCATCTACCTACAGATTTGCTGAGGAAACCCGGTCTGAGTTTCTGGTAATGACTTGCCACAAATTTATGACTAAAATGCCAAAAAATAATAGCGAAAGTTGCCTAAAATAAGGTTGGTTATACTGGATACTAATCTAAGTTTACAAATAAAAACAAAAGAGTGAAAAATATTTAATAAGTTCAGAGTTCTAGGCTTAGAAGAATGTCTGTACTTTTGCTAAATCATAGAAAAACCGATTTCTTTAATGAGTAGAAATTCAAAGGGTACTGATCTTAAGATGTATTTCGAATAACTTAACCTTTAAAATGTTAGCTTTCACGTAAAATTATCTTCCAGCAGGAGAGCGACAAAATAACGCGTTGTCTCCTTTAAAACAAAGGCAAGCACTACAAGCAAGCAATGTGTAGGCCCACCAACGGAAAACCTTCCTAGTTGCTCCAACAGCCTCGTAGGCGAGGAGAAGTAAACACAGATGGTGGCCCATGACCAGGAGGTGGTGCCAACTCCTCCCAAACACTGTTGTATTGCTCCGCCATACCAGTATTGGCAGAAGAAAGAACTTTGAGACGTTAGAAATCAAAACGACTTTAAAAATAATTAACGTAAAGTTGCGAACGCCCATTCTCTTCATCCATTCAATGCAGAGGGTAGCTGTGATCAATAACAGCAGTAAAGTCATGAGCAAATAGTCTCCTATATTTTGAAGCGTGTATGTATAGAAACCTTTCTCGTGGATATGCAAGTCGGCTTGTGACGGATCGGTAAGGTTTTGTCGGCACAGTGCAAAGGATTCCAATAGAAGTACCACCAACGAAACTTTCCAATATATCTTAAATTCCCCATTATTTATGATGTGACGAAAGGCAAAAGAATCCAACAAAAGGGCGTCTATTAATATAATAAATTCCTCAAATTCAATGAACTTATTCGTGATCTGGTGGCATTTCTCACAATGTGTTGTTTTTAGGGTGTTGCTGTATTTTTTGAATAGTTACTTGACAGCATTAATGCATAGAAATCGCCTTTTTTCGGTCATCGGATCAAAGTACTTTTAACGTCGGCTTTGGCCAACCCATTTTCATGCTTTTTGGATAAAAAAGTTGATCCCTGTCTTAAAATTGGAAATGTAAAATCCTTTTGGCAGTTCTTATTACCTAGAATAAGTACGAAAACTAAAATTAAAGTGAATTTTTTCATTAGGTTTATTTAACAAATTTTATAGGACTTGAAACAAACCTTATGCACATGTACTTATTATTTCGGCCAGTAGTGTATTTCCCCCCTTCAACAACTTTATACAAATGGTGTTAAACTTATTTTATTTGTTCTACCAAGTTGGTCTTGGCTTCCGCATGGACTCTTGGCTTGTGGGACCTCTCGTGGGCGTTTTTGTGGTGCAGCTGGGAGAAGGTTCGCTGGCAGTGCTGGCAGCTAAACGGTCTCTCGCCCGTATGCGTATTTATGTGCACCCGGAGCACATTGGAGTAGGCGAACGACTTGCTGCAGTGTTTGCACTTGTACGGACGCTCGTTGGTGTGGATTCTGAAATACAGTGGCATTGGCATTGGGTTCCCAAGAGAGCCTATTCGAATCGCATTACCTGTGGTGCTTGATGCGTGTGGAGGGATCTGCGAAGCTAGAATCGCAGTAATCACATTTGTAGGGACGGTTCCTCGTGTGCGTGTTCATGTGCCTGGTCAGCTGCGGCGTTTGCCGGAAGCGCTTGTGGCAGATCCTAGTGGAAAGAAAGATTACTCCCAGGGCTAGGACTTCTTACTCAGAGCAGCTTACTCGCACTCATGTGGTTTCCCTCTGTTGTGGACCTTCAGGTGGGCGGCCAGCTTGACCCAGTCAGCGTATACCTTATGGCAAACTGTGCAGGCCAGCGGAGGAGCATGAGCCTGGCCAACATCTTCGTCGGGCTCTGACGCAGGACTAATAGATTCCTCCTCAAGGAGTGATGTTGGCGTTGAGGTCAGCGGTTCTATGCTGATTATTTCATCAGTACTGTCAGCCGCCTCCAAGTCGTAGGGCTCTAGGTACTCGTACTCCACTTCGCTGTCACTGCAGCTAGCCTCTTTGCTGGGCAGGTCCTTACTTTCATTCTCGTTCTGCTCCAGCCGTGGGACATTCTCCCCAATCTTCTGCTGTTGCAACGCCTTCTCCGCATCCTGGCACAGGGAGCGCAATTTGAGGGCCGCTCGGAGTAGCAGGGCACAGCTCGTGCAGATACGCGTGGGCCAAGCAGCGTTCTCTCTCAGCTAAGGATTTCAAAGACAGCCTTCTCAGTGGGACTTTGGAAGCCACAAGATCTTCTGCTCACCTGAATGCCCGTGCAGCGTTGGATTTGCGCGCAAAAGTCCGCCTGCGTGGGCATGAGGGTCTCATCCTTGGGCTGCAGTAGACAGATGCGGCACTGGAGCTTCTCGTCGGTCATTTGCGAATGCATCCTTCTGTTATCCGAGTACAGTTCTGTCCTCGAGAAGAGTTCCTGCACACGAAATCAAAACATGAGCGCGTTCGGGGCGAATGGCGCCGTATGTCGCCGGAAAAAGAAGAAGAAAAAGAAGAACTGCAACAAAAAAGATAACAATAATAAAGGTCTCCCCAGCATTATGAACTGAACTAAGCGAATAATGGAGCTGAAGCTGGACATGCTGAACGTTTGCAGGACATGCCTGCAGGATGGCGACGCCCAAATGGTCTCAATTTACGAGCGAGCGGACGACAAGGAGCGCGGCGGCACTTTACTTTGTGAGAAACTCGAGAGTTTCAGTGGAATTCAGGTGGAGAAAGCGGTCCAACTTTTCTCTGTAATCTCTTTAAAATCTCGATTTCCCTTATAGATAACCCGCACGGACCATCTGCCCACCAGGATTTGCCTCAAGTGCAAGGCCTTTCTAATCCTCGCCCACAAATTCCGGCAGATTTGCCAGCGCTCCCATGACTTCCTCAGTGAATATGTGGTCAAAGATGTAGAGGAGCCGGCTGTGGTTGTTTCAGAATCTTCCCCGCCACCTGTGGCAACAGAACAGTTGGAGCAACTAGAGGTGGAGGTGCTAGATGAAGCTGTTTGGGCCGACGACGAACAAGTCGAAGATGTGGCAGCACCGCTGGAGAAGGAGAGGCCAGTGGTGTTGGCTGTGGAAACAGTTCCTGCGCCAGCCATAATCAGTAGCGTCAAACTGCATGTGTGCGAGATTTGTGGTAACGGATATCCCAGGAAGAGCACCTTGGACACGCACATGCGAAGACATACCAACGAACGGCCTTTCGAATGCGAGTAGGAAAACTTCCTGTTTTAATGTGACGCTAGTATTAAAATCGTTGTGCCCCCTTTAAGGATCTGCCACAAGAGCTTCCACGTCAACTACCAGTTGATGCGCCACATACGCCAGCACACGGGAGCCAAGCCCTACAAATGCCAATATTGTCAACGTTGCTTCGCGGATCGCACTTCCCTTGTAAAGCACGAAAGGTGAGTGAATAACTTCTCATCCTTTAACCACTTTTTTTCAGGGCACGTAATCATTACAAGTGAAAAAATAAAAATCAATGTTTAATTATTATCTATTGATTTTAATATATATTGCTTGCCATTAATAATTATAATTTTATATTGACTTGATCGCTCAAATATTAATTCATATTTTTATACCCTTGCAGGGTATTATAATTTCAGTCAGAAGTTTGCAACGCAGTGAAGGAGACGTTTCCGACCCTATAAAGTATATATATTCTTGATCAGCATCAACAGCCGAGTCGATCTAGCCATGTCCGTCTGTCCGTCTGTCCATCTGTCCGTCTGTCCGTCTGTCCGTCTGTCTGTTTCTACGCAAACTAGTCCCTCAGTTTTAAAGCTATCTGAATGAAACTTAGCAAAGAGTCTTCTATATACTCTCACTGCTATATATGTCGGAACGGGCCGGATCGGACGACTATATCATATAGCTCCCATACAAATGTTCGATAAATTTTGAGAAAAAAATTATAACTTGGCTGTTTTTCAATATTTTTGCATCATTTTTGAGATATAGCCATTTTATATTATTACAGAATTTTGGTAAAAATTTTATGAAAATCGGACGACTATATCTTATAGCTGCCATAGGAACGATCGGAAAAAGAATAGGAAAAAAATTATAACTTCGTTGTTTTTCAACATATTCTTATCTACTTTTAGATATAAGCTTCTTTTATTACTTCAGAATTTTTGTAAAGTTTTTATGAAAATCGGACAACTATATCATATAGCTGTCATATAAACGATCTGTAAATGTGGAGAAAATGTAAAGCTGGGAATGTAAAACTGTAACTGTCAAACTGTAAACATAATAAGTATAAGTAAAATGTAATGAAACTCTGTTTTGTGAGTGTTTTCAGCATTTAAATTTATAATATAAACATCAAAACCAATCTGCAAGGGTATACAAACTTCGGTGTGCCGAAGTTAGCTTCCTTTCTTGTTTTGCTTAGAATTTCGCTCAATGTGTGATATCTTCTTTCTAAGAGGTTTCTTTGAAAAAAATTTTACATGATCCTATAAATCGAAAACACTACGAACCCAAAAAAACACACGAAATTCTGAGTGAAATACGTTAATTTTTAGCGATCTTTTTTCGTTAAATAAAACTCTAAATTTAAAAATTAGTATATAAAAATCTAAATTTCATTGTTTATCTTGAAAGAGCATCAAAATTGTAGCCGTTTAATATAATTCGTTCTTATTTGATGCTTTTCCAAGTGGATGATATTTTTATTTAAAAAAAACATTGATAATCATTATTTATTAACTCTTTCCCCTGTAGAACCCATCGAAATGAGCGTCCCTATGGTTGTCAGACTTGCGGCAAAACCTTCACTTACTCTAGCGTCTTGAAGGAGCACTACAAAACGCATACGGGCGAGAAGCCTCACACGTAAGATCGATTAGGTTAGGCTTTACTCTGAGCAATGACAAATAAACTAAACTATAAACTGTTGCTGCATTCTTTAGGTGCAAACTCTGTGGCAAGACCTTTGCTCGAACCCACAATCTGGTAGCCCACATGCAGACCCAACAGCATTTAAATGATCCCCGAACTGCTGGCTATCTAAATACGATCAAGTCGAGCACTACTGTAACGGTTGTACAAAAATAAATATATGTGGATATTAAAAACATATTTAGAATGAATGGGCAATTGCAGGAATGACTTTTGGAAAAGATGTGCAAGTAACGTGTATGCCAGGACACAGTGAAACCCAACGTAACGCTAAATTAGTCAAGCTGACCCGGAGGGGCTATAGAGGAAAAAAGGAAAAGTACTCTGCGTAGAACGGAATTCAAGAAAATTTTAAGATGAACGCCAATCAAGAGAAACAATGTTAGCAAACATATCCAAAAGAAAGGATTGTGAGCTGAATCACTGCAGTCTCCACTCGTCTTTAGGTGATCTGAACGCACTCAAGAAAGTGCCTGAACACCTGCTCTAGTTGCAGATTCCGGCAATCGTGGAATTCGTCAATGACTCCGAATGAAAGTGAGGCTGATACAATACAAATAAGAAAGTGTGAGACAAAGAGCAACCTATCTTAATCCTCTAGGCCCCAAGAGTGCCTTCAAAAGCTTACTGCATTGTTCACATTTCCAAAAATTATAAAAAGGTAAATCTCCAGAGTCAATTTTAACTTCCTAACTGTTCACAGATTCTATGGGATGATAGATATTACGGATTAGTTTCCCGTTTTTCAAATTCTTTATTAAAATTGGAAGTTAAAACCATTGATATTGACTAAAAAATAAGTTAATTAAAAAATATATTATAATAAAAAAATACCTACGTAAGACCTGTCCTGTAGAATTAGTTACAGTCAGAGCTTGCAAATAACTGTCGACCGATTCTCGTTGTCTGCAAATAAGTGTCTCTCTCTGACTCTTTACGAAAAGACTCAAAGAGCAACCGTTTCAGGGGTTTTTGAATGAGCTCGCTCGCACTCGAACCCGTTGTTTTCCATTCAGTTTTGTTTCGATTATTCCAAGACCGTTTTGCCGTGTTCAGTGAAGAAAAAAGTCTTTTGCGGATTCGTTTTGCAGACGAAATATATTAATTGCAACAACAACGAAAGTAAATGTGAAGACCGTTTTCGCTTAGTTTTTCGGTCAATCGGTCTTTTGCTGACTCTCTTTGTGCGTTTCTGAGCGTTTCTCGTTCCGCCCTTAACGCACTGCTCATTCAACGACCGAAATAAAAAGACCTCAACGAAAAGCGCTCAACAGAAAACAGAAATGAAGACAGCACAACTCTCTTGCTCAGAGCGAGAACGAGAGAGTATGAACTTTTTCGGTTGTCCTCGCAACAAGAGCACAAGAAAAAAAAAAACGGTCGACAGTTATTTGCAAGCTATGGTTACAGTAGATTCTGAGTTATCGTGTACACCGACATGCAAAGTAACATTTTTTAAACTCTTTTACGCTCGTACATTAAACACCATACGACCTCCGTTCAACTAACTACGCATAACTTTGTCAATTTAGCAATGATTGAAAAAACTTTATCAAGATATTTAAGATATATTTGGTCATTCAACAATAGGTAGTCCCCCTATATAATTATAGATTCCTGGTAAACCCTTTCACGTTCGATTTTATTTTTTACAATTTCATCATTTATTTAAGTTACTTGCAAGCGTTACACAATCTTTTTGTTTTGTTTAATTTTTGCTTTACAATTTTACAACTTTTAATGCGTTGTACGGGGGAAATGCCGAAACTTGAGTTAAAACTTGAGTGATCAATATTATCGTAGCCTGAAGAGTAGGAGGAGGAGGAGGAGTAGGTCGGTTGTATACGTTAACAAAATTAAATAACAAACTATGAACTTGGATCGTGATTAGCCGATGGCCTTTGCACAGCAAAGAAGCATCTACTTGGCCGCCATGCGAATTTTGTCCTTCAGCAAATTGCGCAGCTCGGTAACCATCAGCTCGTGTGAGTCCTTAAACGTGGCCGAGACATCCCCGATAAGCGTGGCCTCCACCTCGGGCTTCAGCGACATGTCCGACATGAAGGAGCTAAGATCCCGGGGTAGCACAGGCGCCTTCCAAGTGCCTAAAGATTGAAAGTAGAGGACAAGATTAGGCATTTGGGGATACGATGGGGCCGAGCTACTCACGGATGGCCGAATCACAGGCCTCCAGCTTATGCTTGAGCTGGCGCATCAGCTCGTGTACCATCTGGCCGCGCTCCTTTTCGCTGATTGGTTGCGGGCCGTTCTCCTTGTTGTCCGCCGTTCTCTTCTTGGTCTTGGTCTTTGAGCTGACCTGCAGCTTGTCGTTCAGCACAGAGAGTAGAAATGCGTAGAGGGATAAAATCTATGGGGGAGGAGTTTCTGAATTGAAATCTTGAAATGTTGTAAGAGAGTCCAGTGCCCATAACTTGCCTCTAAACTGGCGGCCACCTTCTGCTGCTGCTCCCGCCGGTTCCAAAGGCCGTCCGTGCCGTTCCCGTCGTTGCACTCGGAGATGGTCTTTACACACACATCCATTACTACGATGACGTTCTCGCCCACCCGCTTGCATTGCTCGGCTAGTTTTCCGGATCCGCTTTGCAGGTCGAGCACCAACTGGGACAGGTCATCGAAGAACCGTTCGTAGGGCAGATCGAGCAGCAGGCGCAGGCGCGTGGGCAGCAGGTTGACTAGAAAAGTTTGCGGCAGCGGCTTGTAGTTCATCAGGCGCAGGCGTTGGAACAACCCCGTCCAGGATTCCCGCAGCAGCTCCAGGGTGGCAGTCTCCGTTCCCGCGGGCACATCTTTCGCACCCGTGCCATGGTACAGATCGATGAAGGAAGCGAACAGACGAAGCATTAGCGAACGCACCTGCAGCACCTCCACCTCCTGGTCAAAGGACTCCTTGCGCTCCTCCGCAGCATTCACTTGGTGCAACGGATCCCAGCGGATGATGGCATCCAAGTCCCGGTTGTCACTCAGTTCGTGCCAGGCAATTCGATCCTCCGCCGGCTCAATGCTCATGGCCGCGTAGGCGGTAAGGTTTTGCATAACGTTTCCATAGCAGCTCACCAGGTCACAGATCTGGGCCTCCACCGAGCAGGCGACATACTGCAAGCTGTTGGTCAGCCGCTCCTTGAAGTTCATGAACTCCTCCATTTTGGAGAACGTACAGAAGCGGTACGTCAAGGCAATGTACTCCAGCCGCTCCTTGTAGCTGTTGGTGAAGAACTTCAGCGTGGCATCGTAGACGGCTCTGGTGCCGGAGAAGCGGCCACCCAGTGGCAGCAGTTGACAGTGCACATATCCCATCGAGTCCAGTTGGATCTGCTTGATGTCCAGATACTCGTACATCTCCTGGGCACCCACCTGACAGCCAAACAGGTGGTAGATCTTCAGGCTTAGCAGCTTCACGTGGAAGTTGCTCGTGCTGTTCCGCAGGACGTACTGCAGCAGGCACAGGGCCTCGAACAGGTGATCGGATTTGTGCTCCCTCCGACTGAGGTCGTACATCACATTCGCCGCCAGCAAGGCATACGCATCCGATGGTCCCATCTCAGTGGCCAGCAGCTTCTTGCCGAACGAACTGCGGCCATGCTCGTAGTGCAGCTTGAGGGCCGTATAGAAGGCAATTAGGTGGTCAACGGGCAGCTCCATGTGTGAGCCGCACATGCGAGAGATTTGGAGGGCACAAAGGTGTTTCTGCATTTGCTCCTTCTGTTACGACGATTCCCTTTTGTTATTTTGAAACTGGGTAAACATCGTTTACTACTTACATTCTGTGGCAGCGACGTGGAACTGACTCCGCTCTCCAGCAGCAGCTTGCCGGCCAGTGCCTGCCGCTGCTTCATGCTGATGGAGGGCAAGAACAAGGCGATATCGTGGGTGCAGCAGGATTTGTCGCCGAACAGGTTGAAGTACTCAATGACCATCTCGTCAAAGTCGCCGATGAGCTGCTCCGCGGGCAGTTTATCCGCTCGCATGCGCTGGTGCAGCTCCAAACGCGCCAGATAGGGACCCCGTTTCTTGCGCTCCGAAGACTCAATGATGCCCTGCAGGAATTCCTGACACCTGGCCAGCGAATCCTTCTCTCCCTTCTCTTCTCCCTTGGACGAAAGTTTCAGCAGTTCAAAGGAGCTTTGGATGTACTCCTTGTAGTAGTCCCAGCGATCTCGGCTAGAATGATTGAGTAAGATTTACAGAGTAAATGGGTTTTTTGGGTGTACTTACTCGGCGTCCAGGAGTTGCTGCAGTAGCTCATTCAGCTCTCGCCAATTGCCAAGTTCCTTGAGCAGCTCAAACTTCATGCTGACCGGAGCACCTGGATAGAGCTTGGCGCACAGCTCGCCGGTGAGGAATTCCCATGCCTCGTGATACTTGTTCTGCAGCTTGAGGATGTGCAGATAGAGGAAGGCCTCTTGCTCCGTCTCTAGCTTGCCCTCCTTGATGTGCTTGTCGACCATGCGCTGCGCCAGTCCCAGGTAAATTTTTCTTTTCTCCGGCAGCGCCGATTCCGGCCCTCGGATTCCCTGGAAGACCACACTGATCACAGACCAAAAGTAGTAGGCATTTTTCGGCTGCGCCTTGTAGAGCTGCAGGGCAACCGCTTGCTGCGCCTTGTAGTCCTCCACGCGGACATGGGAGATGAAGAGGTGGGCGAGCAGCTCCTCGTTGCCCGGGTTTTGCTTCACCGCGTGCTGGTACAGCTCCACAATTTTATCCACTGTAACGAGGCGGAGATATAAGTAAAATTAGCAATAATAGCTGCAGTACAGGTATCTATATATTCAAATCGTTGGCACGCACTTGCCGCCGTCGCCGTCGTCGGACTAAGAGAATACGATTTTAATTAGTCGGGCGAGGTGCGCGTGCCAAGAAAAATACGAAAATATGAATTGTGGGCACTTCGTATGCGTGATCAGGGGCGGCATCGATGGGGACTCGGCGGATATGCGAATGCGGATGTTTTGATTTGAAAAAACAATTATTTAATGTATTTTATGCTTTTGGGTAGTGAAAAGCAAGTAATTATTTAATAATAATAATTTATTTAATAAATCTAGTTTCGTTGGCTTTTTCAAAAATGTTTGACTGTTTTTGCATTCTGGTTTATAGTGAAAATAAAACTAAAAGCTAAATGACCTTGTAATATTTTCTACAGCTATATGCTTTC